AGGTGTCCTCCTTGTGTTTGCTTGAGGCAAGAACCAAGCGAGAAGCAGGTTGATGAGATCATGGGTTAGAACCTCAACTCTTGGAGCCCAACTACATCTGGGAAAGCAGGTTTAGAATCAGGTGACTGCTTTTTCCTGTAAGCCCAGAAAGCAATTAATGGATTTTATTAGATGGTCATATCATAGATGTAGAGAATAGGTTGCAGAACATTGTCAACATTTAAAATTGTTTTTACTGACAGCAACCAAACCAGTTTCAAATGCTAACCAATTCAAACAGCAGTAGCTCGAAGTTGATGGAACACACATAAAAATTTGGCATTTGATCCTATTTAATGGTAACATGGAAAGATAGATACTAGGACTCTGCTTCTAGCCACAAAGGTCTACCCAGACAAGTATAGGGCGGGACTTTCATGCTGTGCCGCTGCCACCTCTTATATCTCCTCCCTGCCCACCCCAGGGGCTGTCAACCTCCTCCAACAAACCCCACTCGGAGCCCATCCACAGCTACATTGGTTTGCTAGGGCTGCTGTAACAAAGTACCACAGCCTGGGTGGCTTAAACAACAGAAACATATTTCCTCACAGTTCTGGAGGCTGGAAGCCTGAGATCAAGGTTTCTGAGACTTCTCTCCTCGGCCTATAAACGGCTGTCTCCCCTCCCCTGCTGTCTTCACATGGTCTTCCCTCGTCTGTGCGTGCATGCATGCGTGTGTGTGCGTGCGTCCTAATCTCCACCTTTTTATAAGGACACCAGCCATATTGGATTAGGGCCTACTCTAATGATCCATTTTAATATAATTACTTCCTTAGGTAATTTCCAAATGCAGCCACATTGTGAGGTACTGGGGGTTAGGGCTTCAACACAGGAATTTGGGGAGACACGATTGAGCCCATAGCAATAGCCCTGCACATAGCTCCTCTGAACAGATGGCCTTCTCTCTCCAGAGGAGATCAGCGCCTGGCTCTGGTAGGAGCCCTCTCTTCTTCTCTTGAGAGCCTCTGTCTTCCAGTTGTACCCACTCCTTCCCAACAGTCCTGGGTGAAGTCGGCCAGCGGCTTTGTGGCTCTGCCAGTCATCAACACCCTATATCCTACCAGTCTCCGTCCCTGAGGGGCTTTGACTTCCCTGTACGCTTCCCTCTCGCACCTTTAGGCTGTCCCTCTCCAATGTGTCCTGGCCTCCTTCTGTCCAACCTGTCCTTTTCTCTTTCACCTCAGGAGAAACCTTAGCTTGACGTTTCCTCTTCTGTCACCTGTTTCTCTTTGTCCTTTCTCCTCCAGAATTCCTGACTGACTAGTTGACTCCCCCCTTGTTTCCTTGGGAGTGGCTTCTGACCACACTGTTCCTCAGAACCTGGCTTCTCCAGCACTACCGTCACTGCGTAGTGGTCACACTGACAGCCTCTTCCCAGCATCCGTCCTCCTCCACCCTTGCTTGTGGTGACAGTCCTCCTCCTACTTCCCCAGCCCCTCTCCTTCATCCCAGCTCCTCACTGTGGCATCGCCAGGAATCAGACCCAGGCCTCTTCCATTCATTTCTTTCTTTTCCCCAAAGGACTGACCCAGCCTCCATTTCCTTTATAATTGTGTGTTTGACTCTGGAGTCTTCCACTTCAGTCTCCACCAGCCTGTCTCTAGAATTCTGACCCTGGGCTTCGAGCCCTACGTACAGATCCAATTCTTTCATCCACCAGACTCACCTGAGCAAGCTGAACTACTCATCTTTCACTCCCAAATTCCATATTCCTTCAATACGACTGTCCCCGTGTATCTAAGCAAGAAATCTCCGAGTAATCTTTGTACCTCCCTCTTGTTTAGCCCCCTAAATTCTTTTAATTTTTCTTCTGTCTCTCATTTATGTCATCTTCTCTGCATTGGCCTTGATCAGTGCCTTCCAAGATATGGCAGTAACCTCCTAATTGGATATCTCGTGCCCCAATCGTTAGAAGCCCTGTAGGGAACCTCCCTCCGGTCTGACTGCTGTTGGTGTGAGGACTTGCCGTTCACTCAGGACAAAGGCCCAGCTCTCAGCTCGGCATTTGAGATCAACCTTGTCCAATAGCACTTTCTGTGATGGGGGTGTTCTGTCTGTACATGTGATAGCCACCAACCGCGTGTGGCTGCTGAGCACTTGAAATGTGGCTGGTGTGACTGAATAACTGAATTTTCAATTTTCTTTAAATTGCACACTGTCTTCACTCCACTGCTAATACCAGCCTTGGGCTCTGGCCTGCCTGCAGATAATACCACCCCGATTCTCGACTCTGAGCACTATCTGTTCCTGACCTGTGGGCTCTTCTCTCTTCTCCAGTTCAGACCTTCCCTAGCCCGCAGGTCCATCCCAGGCCCCACCCCCAAGCCTCTGACCATCTCCTCAACTCAGTGTTTCTACTTCTCCTTCATTAGAACAGCCACGTTATGTTGACTGTACAACACATCTTTTTTATTTTTACTTTCTAACTTTTTTTGAAATAATTTCAGACTTACAGAAAAGAGTGCAAAAATAATACAGATAATTCCTGTGTACCTTCACCTAGATTCTTCAAATATTAACATTTTACCATGTTTGCTTTATTATATGTTCTCTCCCTCTTTCCCATCTCTCTCTTTCTACCTCTCCATGCACATGTACACATATATATTTACATATAATGTTTTATGAGCAATCTGAAAGTAAATTGCACACACGGTACCCTCTATACCTAAATACATAAGTGTGTATTTCCTAAAAACGAGGACAATCTCTTATAAAGTCACAGTTTGACGATCTAAACAGGAAATTGACATTGATACAACACTATTACCTAAATTAGCAACCTTAGTCAAATGTTGCCAGTTGTCCTATGAATGTCCTTTATGGCAACAGAAAAAAACAAAACAAAACAAAAAAACCTTTGCTGTGAACCATACATCTTGACATTTAAGGCCTTCAGGAGAAGCCCTGATTTCTTACATTTGTTTGGTTTTCTCCTTGATACCCAGGTTAGTGGTTTACACTGACTAGCATTTGCCTGGTACATAGTAGGCCCTCAATACATATTTGGAGATGGACGGATGAATTAGTATTGGCAGTGAGCCAGGGTGACCTTGGGAGCAGCTGGCAATTGTCAGTTTTGTGGCCTCAGAGCGCTTGTGACGGGGGTTGCCTCCTCACAGCAGTGCTCTTGGGGTGTTCTGTGGGGTTGCGGTGTTCTTCCCATTGTGGGAATGCAGGACTGGTGATCCGCAGTCAGCTGACTTGCCTGTGGCTACAGAGCACTCCATATCCACATCCAGGCCAGGACATGGTGCTGCTGCTCCATAATCTGCAGAGGTGAAGCTGCGTGGGCGATTAAGTGTTAATATGAACCCACCCATTCGTTCAGTGAATGGTTATTGAGTGCCTTCTATGTGCCAGGCACGTTGGGTATACAGCGATGAACAAAAAGTCCCTGCCCTCAAACGGCTTACACTTCAGGGGCAGGGGAGGAGCAGACAGTAAATAAGCAGGTAAATGTATAGTTTGCCATATGGCAGTAAGTGCCATGGGGGTGATCATAAAGCAGGGTAGGAGTGATAAGGAGTGCTGGGGGCGTGGGCTGCTAGTTGCGTAGGGTGGTTAGGGAAGATCTCATTGTGAAGTGGCTTTTTCCCAGATTTTGTATTAAGGTATAATTTCCCTGCAGTGAACTTCACCCCTTTTAGTGAACAGTTCTGTGAGTCTTTGACAAACTCATATAATCTTGTAACTGCCACCACAGTCAAGATAAAGTTCCATCGCCCCAAAACATTTCCCTCTGTCCCTTTGTAGTCAACCCCTCCCCAACCCCACCTCTGGCAGCCATTAGTCTGTTCTCTGTCCCTATAGTTTTGCCTGTTCTACAATGTCATAAAATTATGTAGTATATAGCCTTTTGATTTTTCTTAGCAGAAAAGAAAGATAAATCATTGAGATTTGTCCACCTTATGTGTATTAGTAGTTTTTTCCTTTTTATTGATAAGTATTTCATTGTCTCAGTGTATCACAGTTCACCCAGTTGCCAGTTGAGGGACATTTGGATGCCTTCTAGTTTTTGGAAATTGTAACTAAAGCCCCTATAAACATTTGCCTAGGGCCGACCCCGTGGCTCACTCGGGAGAGTGCAGCTCTGGGAGCGCAGCGGCTCTCCTGCCGCGGGTTCAGATCCTATATAGGGATGACCGGTGCACTCACAGCGCTCACTGGCTGAGCGTGGTGCAGGCGACACCAAGCCAAGGGTTGCGATCCCCTTACTGGTCACAAGAAAAGGACAAAAAAAAAAAAACATTTGCCTAAAGGTGTTCATGTGCATGTAGGTTTTCATTTCACTTGGATAAATAGATTAGATGACTTCTGAGCAAAGACCTGAAAGAAATACAAAAACAAGCCCTGAAGATAGTTGAGGATATTTTTGCACATGTGCCACATTGTTATTCAATGAAATTAATGGGTTTGTGTTTTTCTGCTTGGGTCATTTTTCTTATTTGAGTGATTTGGAGGAAGTGGGGGTAGGAGGGGAAGAGGCTATTCATTCATTCATTGATCTATACAACAAACACTAAAAAACATGAAAGCCACCAGTCCACAGTCTGTGACCCAAAGGAAGCCTGAGACCCTTGGATCCACACCAAAAGCTAATTTGAGTTGGTTTATCTGACATAATTTCCTTTCTGAGTTTTCCTGAAAGTTAGGGTGAGAGAGTAGTTAGTGAGTTTAGGGGTTCTCCAATTTGGATAGAACTATGGGGGCTTAAGCATTTTTGAGTTTTTATCTCATTGGAGGCTCCAAGGACCCCTTCAGAGGTCCCTGAAAACTGACATCCATTCATTCATGAGGTTGTCTGCGTGAGAGGGCAAGGAGATCTCTGGAAAGACACATTTGAATGAGGGCTCTCCCTGGATTAGGGGCCAGTGGGTAAGACAGCAGCCTTCTAGGATTCAGGAGTTTGTGAAAAAACAGAACTGACAGAAAATAATTGGTTAACTTCTTTGTTTCAGGTGATGCGACCGTGAAAAAGAAACCTGCCCCCAAGACACCTCCGAAGGCAGGTAATTGGTCACAATGACATCTGGGGGCAAGGGAGTCATCTGCCCTAAGGGTTTTTCCTTTACCCTGCTAGACTGACCGCCTGGGTATGGATCCCAGGAGACACCTGCCCGCATCTCAAGCTCTGCATTATTTGGGCTGAACTTGCTCCGCATTATTTGGGCTGAACTTGCTCCATGAGTGAGCCTCTGCACAGCCTGCTCACTCACTCTCTTCCACTGCTTTGTCTTTTCTCCACTTCCCTCTGCGTGGACAGCATCACACAGTGCTCGCAGCTTTCCCATCCCTTCCGCGAAATTCTGTGGCCCCCTGCCCCCCGCTCTGCCCTCGTGGAGATGAGCCGCGGTGCTCGTCTCTGTGTCCTAGTTATGTGGAGCCCTGGTCTCTTTTTCCATTGGAAGACCTTTCAGGAAGTGCACCACATTGAGCCTGTCAGCCAGGGTGTCCTGGAGGTCAGTGGGCAAGGCACTGATTAATTAATAAGGGAGTTAGGATGTAGATTCAAAAACTTGGAGTAAGACACAAATTCCAGTGCAATCAATGGTGGAGAATTATGCCATGTAAATTGTGTGGGTCACTTCTGAGGGAACCAGAATAAAGATGTGGACAGACCTGGCAGGTCTGTGAGTTCAGGTGTCTTGGAGCAGAAGTCACTGCTCTGAGGTTCTAGAAGCTGAGAGGAGCCAAAAGATCAACATGCCAGTGGCGTCAGGTGAGATCAGAGTGTCCAAGACTCCCTCCTCCTCGCTCACTTTCTCGCCTGTCCTCCCTCAGCTATGCCCCCTCAGATCATCCAGTTTCCCGAGGACCAGAAGGTACGCGCAGGAGAGCCTGTGGAGCTGTTTGGGAAAGTGGCAGGCAGCCAGCCCATCACCTGCACTTGGATGAAGTTCCGAAAGCAGGTCAGTGATGCGATGGGGTGGCCTGAGGACAACCGCATAGCACCTGGGCCAAAAGGGATGAAGAATGCTAGAATGGGAACAGCAGCACCCCTCATCACTTTAGAAATGGGAGACCCTCACCCACCCGCCCACCAAACCCAAGTTCTTATCAACCTGTTCCTCTGAATCTACCATTAAGCCCTGCCTTATAGACAGTCTGTATAATAGAGAAAAGTATGAAGCAAAAATTAGAAACCATCCAGTGCCCCCATCGGATTTTGATATTTCAGTCTGTTCTACTTGGAGTCAAGAAAATCGAACCAGTGACCTAAAATGACCTCTCAGAAACTGTGAGCTTTCTGCGATTCTGTGCCAGCCCACCGACTCCTGTCTGTGATAACAGCTTAGACTTAGCACATGCTGAAGGGATAAAAGTGAATCTGAGTATCTGGATAGTTAAATTGTATGTCAAATGGAATTTTGGCTTATTGACCCAGAAATCTAGCTATGATTTATAATAATGGCTCCTATGGAAGAATGTTTGTGTTTCCAAACAACCAGCTTTTTTTTTTTTTTTGTCTTTTTCCGTGTCCGGCAACGGATCGCAACCCTCAGTGTTGCCCCCGTACCGGACCGGGGACCGGCAACGGGATCGCAACCCTCGGTGCTGCTCCCGCACCTCGCTCAGCCAGTGAGCGGGAACCGGTCTGTATGTGGGATCCGAACCCTCGGGCGGGAGCACCGCCGCGCTTCCCAAGCAGCGCACTATAGCAGTGCGCCACCGGGCCGGCCCCAAACAACCAGCTTTTAAAGGAACTTGGGGAGCCTGGCCTTTCCACTGATTCCATGTTGTTAGTGTGTGCCCATATGCATAATGAGCAGAGACCCCAGAATAATGGGCTGGCCCAGGACCAGGAACTACAGAAGGTGTGGAGATTTATTCTGAGCCCTCTATTGCTCTTTTTCCAAACCATTCAGATTGTCCTAGGCTTAGAGATGAGCAGCTAATACCAAGGAGGAAAGGATGGTTGATCTCAAAAGATGGAGAAGTGAATCTAGCCTTTAGCATCCCAAAGCATGTTTGCCCTGAGGTGTGCCTGGGCTACTATTGTCTGAAATAAGATGGAATCTCATCCCTTTTCAAAGACTTTTAGCCAAGTTGCAGCTCTATCCATTAGAACTTTCTGTGATGATGGAAATGTTCTATATCTGTGCTCCTCAATATTGTAGCCACTATCCATATGTGGCTATTGAGCACTTGAAATGTGGCTAGTACAACTGAGGAACTGAATTTTTAATTTTAATTAAACATTGTAAAAACAGCTTTATTGATATATAATTTATATACCATAAAATTCACACTTCCGAACTGTACAATTCAGTGGTTTTTCCTAAGTTCACAAGGTTCTGCAAGTATCACCATTATCTAATTCCAGAGCATTTTCATCACCCCAGAAAACCCAGACCCATTAGTAGCCAGTCCTTGCTTCTCCCAGACCCTGACAACTACCAACCTATTTTCTGTCTCTATGGGTTTGCCTATACTGGACGTTTCATATAAATGAAATCACAATATGTCATCTTTTGTGTCTGGTTTTATTGAATTAGCATATTTTTTCAGGGTTCACCCATGTTGTAGCATGAATCAGTACTTCATTCCTTTTTATGGCTGAATAATATTCCATTGTCTGGGTGTACCACACTTGGTTTATCTGTCATCAGTTGATGGACATTTGGGTTGTTTTCGTTTGGTTCATTGAAATTTAAGTAGCTGCAAGTGGCTAGTGACTGCTGCACTGGATAGCACAGAAGAGGTTAGAACCCACTGAGATGAGCTTTTTGCATGATTGGCTCAGTTGTGTTCTATCATCCCATCCCAGAGTGGTTGGAGGGAGCCTGGGAAGCTCCCGAACTATGCTCTGGAAGCAGCAGCGAGTGCCGAGATAGTTCATCCACACTGCCCCTGCTTAGCACCCTCTCTGCCCATCCCAGACCTGGATACCCCCAGGCAGGCTTGGCTATGGATGCAGGAGAGGAGGAGGCTTAGGAGAAAGCTCAGAGTCTGGACAAACTGAGCCCCCTGCAGGTTGTCCAGCTCCATCCCTCAGGGAGTAGAGAGTGGGGGAGGGGCCCCTTCCTTCCTGGTCCGTATCTCCAGTGCTTGCTGCACACTCTGCCCCCAGATCCAGGAGAGCGAGCACATCAAGGTGGAGAACAGCGAGAACGGCAGCAAGCTCACCATTCTCGCTGCACGCCAGGAGCACTGCGGCTGCTACACACTACTGGTGGAGAACAAGCTGGGCAGCAGGCAGGCTCAGGTCAACCTCACTGTTGTGGGTGAGTCTGGGGACCAGTGGCCTGGAGGTCGGGGAGGGGGAGGGCAGTGAGCCACCAGGCAGGATGCATGAACCTCAGGACTTCATCATCAGCCCTTCCGCCTTCAGTGCCTGTCCTCTCTGCCCACAGCCTCCTCTTCTCCCAGCTTTCCACCTCTCTCACTGCTTCTGTCCTTCAAGATCTGGACCCTGCCCTCTACCCGCAGCATTTTCCTCTTCCTGAGAGTCCATTCCTGGCTGCTTTCTTTCTGGCCGTTGGAGGCCCTGGACTTCACTACTCTAGGCCCTCCGTTGCTGGTACCTTCAACTTCCTCTCCCTCATGTCCACTACATCCCCCACGACTCACTCCCCTTGCAAATCCTCACATGAAATCAGTGCACCTTCTTTTTTTTTTTGGCCGGTAAGGGGATCACAACCCTTGGCACGGTGTTGTCTGCACCACGCTCAACCAGTGAGCACACCAGCCATCCCTATGTAGGATCCAAATCCACAGCCTCAGTGCTACCAGCACCGCACTCTCCCAAGTGAGCCACAGACCAGCCCAGTGCCACCTTCTGACCTCACTGCTTGTAGGCCTGATATTTGGGGCTCTGCAGAGAGAAGATCCCATCAACCCACAGACTCATTGCTAGATTCTGTTGACCTCCAAGCTCAGCCAAGGAGTCAGTGCTGGTCATCAACGCTTTGCCTTGCCTCTGGCCAGCACTCTCTCCTGTTCTCTGTGAGAGCTGCTCCTCCAGTCCCCCACCCCGCAGGCCTTGGCCTCTGGCTCCTCTGACTCATCACTAACAGGTGTCTGTATCTGTCCCCATCCTGACTCCACCCTCCAGGCTCTGGGATGGCCCTCTTCTGTCCTGCTTCTCCCATGCTCTGGGGCCGGCTCTTGGGGGCTCCACTTTCCCCTTTTCTCTCTTCTCTTCAGCCTCTTCAGCTTCTCCCAGCAGCTTGCAGACGTTGCCATCTCAGCTGCACATACAAACCTCCTGTGCTTTTTTGTCTTGCTCAAGACATCCGACCATCTCTCTTTTCCTCCCTTTCTCCCTGCCTCTCCCCATGGTCAAACCTTCTACTCTGATTCTGCTTCATCACTCCCTGGCACTCTTCAGCTCCTTGTAGCCTTACCCCCGTACCCCATTAGTCTGCTGGGACCCCTCTTCTGAGGTCACTGTGACCTCCTACTCCTAACTCCACTCCCTTTTCTTTATCTTCTACATCCCAGTATTGACTTGAGTCTATCTCTAGACTGATTCTCGACTTCACTTTTTCCTCTTCCTAATCACTGTTCTCATGCACTGGTCAAATCAGCTTTTTAACTGGTTTCCTGCTGTGGCTCACACTCAGCTCCAGTTTCCCCAATGTGGCAGGTGCTCAGGACTGCAGAGGAACAAACAGATGAAGGAGCAGACAGATGGAGCATGGACCATGTCTTGTACACTTGTGGGCCTTCGTATGTTGTGCACATGAAAGCCTTTGACCTGGTGGTGTCCACAGGTGCATGCACGAGACCTGAGTGGGTTTTCCACTTGTTCTTGGCTTTCAAGTTTATGGGGTACCTTTATGAAAATCAGAAAAAGGGACCCCTCTGGGCAGGGTGAAAAGACTGAAGCCCAGCCTCCCTAGAGCTCATGACCTGGCCTTGGGGAGCAGAGGTTGGCCTGGATGCCCTGCTGGGCCCCTTTGTGCAGTGCACAAAACTCAACTGTGCGTGCTGTCCTGACCTCGACTCCTTGCTTGCTGGGCCTTCCCATGTGTGTTCCTGGTGCACACATGGGTAGGCACACAGAACAAAACTATCTGTTAGTAACAGGACTTATGTGTCTGTGCTGGTTAGAAATCTTCCCCTGGAACCTGTCCTGTAGGGGTATCTAGGCATGAAGTTGAAAGTTGAAGAAGGTGACTCTTAAGGTCTCTTGTAGCTCTGACATTCTGTGATTCCCTGTCATAGTTTCCAAGCAATTTTCCTCCTCCATCTTCATATCGAATCCTCACCTTAGGATAGGATGGACAGGATGATGTTTCTGCCTTACAAAGAGGAAACCAGGGCCGGTATAAGCAAAATAACACAGTGCATCAGGCGGGAATTAGCTCTCAAGCTCTCAAACTCTCCTTGAGATGCCACTCAAAGGAGTGTGAAGTGGGTGCATAATGTCCCAAAAGTTGAAGGAATCCTCTGGCTGGAAAATTCATCCTAAGGGTAACATGCAGGCCTTCTGAGGTGCTGTCCACAGGCCAGGGAGTTGTTGACATCGGTCCCTCTTTCTCTCACACTGAGCCTTGGGACTCCCTGTAGCATCTCCCTCCAGCCCCTAAGCAGTTGGGGGAAGAAGTCCTCCCAGCACGTGAATAGGGAAAATATGAGGACAGAGGGCAAAGCAAAGCAAAGGTGGGAAGACAAGTGAGGTGGGTGGTGGACCGAGAACAGACCAGCCTGGGCACTGGACGAGAAGTGCCGCAGACCCCTGGAGGCTCGCCACTGGACACAGGACCTGGGAGCGGGAGCTCACGGTGGACTGAGCTTCAGCAACCCACTCCTTTCTCTACTGCCTTCTCGCTTGCCCTGCTCCTCTCCCCTGCCTTGTTTCACCCCATGCCGTGTTCCATTTATCTCTCAGTATCCCTTGCTCTGTCCCATTCCCCCTCTTTCCCCTACCTTCCTCTGACCCCCTTTCTTTTGTTTCCTAAGGTCAGGAGTTTTAGATCTGGGAAGGCCAGTGTCCTAAGGAGCCAGGGAATAGGTTATCTGTAAAGGAAAAGAGAGACCCTTTTCTCACTCTCTTTGGTGACTCCAGGTGCTTATTTCTTGTTTTGTTTTGTTTTTTTGGTGGCCTCCTGGTACAGGGATGGAACCTGCCAGTGCTTATTTCAATCTTTCAATCATTCCCTTCTCCCCCCACCCCAAGTCAGGAGCCTCCGGGGGATTGGTGCTAGTGATCCACAGTGCCTGTACTTTCAGACCTGCACCCTGTCCGGTCAACAAGCCTCAGTTTCCACTTTCCCTGTGATCTCTCTCATCAGCCCCTGCTTGGGTAACTTTAGGGTCAGCTCCTTTGAACTGCTTTTCTCTGACCAGTGCCCCTACCCTCATGCTGGCTGCACGGGGCCGCACACTCCCCTCCCCAATCACTACTGCACGGGCTGCAATTCTGGCCTTTTATGGTTTAGTTTCTTATTCTCCAGGCCAGTGCTGACAGGGCCATTGGTGTGGCTGCCTGCCAGCTGGCAGGAGCAGCATGTTAAATGCCGTCCTGGGAGGGGAATGGAATGGAGGAGAATGGGGCTTTCTGTCTGCCTCCCCCTCAGAGAGCTAAGAATAGAATTGCTCAATAAAATGAGGACTGACATTGATGGACACAGCAAAACTGCCTTCATTCAAGGCCTGTGAATTTAGATTTAGTGCAAGGAAAACCTGGTTTAAGCTCAGATTTACCTGGGCATCTCTAGGGACATCTGTGTATTATCTGATCAGAGTTATTACGTAGAAAGAAAATGTAAACAAGATAAAACAGGAAATGTTTGGCCTGCTCTGGACAGTTTTCAAGCTCTTTAGCTAAATAAGGCCAACTTAATACATCTTCTACATTGAGCAGTAAACTTTTCTTATTGTCTGTTTTTAAAGGACCACTTTCTTTCCAGATAGTGTATGACTCCTATTTTTAAAAGGATGATAAACCCTAGCCTTTCCCTGGGGTTAGTTTAAATGAGTGATGTTTAGCTATTTTAAAGTCTTATTGTTATATTCTAAAAGGCAATGCAGGAATCTGTGATACTCTGCTGCACCCCCCCCCCCCAACACACACACCCTTGGTCTGCTGGCTGAGTGGAGCGAGTGGGCCGCACGACCCAGATGGATTCCTGAACCTCACATACCCAGGCTAGAGAAACAGGTGTCTTTGCATACCTTTAAAGGATCCAACAAGAGAAAAACAGGTTTCTTTGCATATCTTTAAAGAAGAAAAACAAAATAGAACCCTAAATACTCAATAAACCCCAAATACTATCTGAGTTTGGAACTTGAATGATATGTAAGGGCAGGAGATTTCCCTTTGCAGTGCTTGGCTCAGACCAGCAAGATGACTTCTTGATCTCATTCTGCCTGATAGCCTGGAAGTACCAAGCCCTGGAGTGGAGTCTAGAGACTCTCTGGAACCTCCTTTTTTTTAGCTTGGTTTTCTTGGTAAGCAAAGTGTCTTGGCCTCTGAGAATCCATTTCCTGAGGGCTGGAATGATCCAGGCAGGTGACCACTGGTGGGCCTTCCAGCAACTGCTGAAGAGCTAGTGGAGGGATGCCCAGGTGGTGTCAGTCACAGCCACAGATCATCTTCATACATGCAAGCACAAAGAGACCTCCATGGTGGTTACTGTAGTGGGAAGCCTTAGAGATGAGATCCTCCATATTTCCAGGAACGAGAACATTTGCTGAGCAGAAAACCCTGCAGCTGGTGCCATCAGAGACCCTTCCTTTAGACTCAACAGTTCCCATTCTGTCAGTCAAGTCTCCAGGGAGCCCTGGGAGAATTCCAAGGAAGCATGGAGCTGCAGGCCCTAGACACCGAGCCAGCCTCTGTTGTGCCAGGCAATGCCCAGGGTCTCCCTCCCAGTCTGACTGTGTCTGTTCTTTAGCGTGGAGGAGAGGCTCATGGGAGCACTCTGTTTTGAGGACATCTGTTCTGTTCTGAGGGTTTTCAGCTATGGTGGTTCAACCTCTGTGTGGGGCTCTGTAGGATGGAAAGAACAGAAAGCATCTGGCATAGCCCAGGGCTCTAAGGGCGGGTGTGGGAGTAGGAGCTTCCAATATTGTAAGCCTTCAGACTTGGGTCTTTTCTGAACTCCCTAATTTGGTATCAAATTCCTTAAAAGCGTTGAATTTTTGCTCAGAATTAAAGTCTCCTCCCCAAATTTTGCTGCTTCTCTTGTGCTATAGGAAGTGATATACATCATAAGCTCTCTCCTTTAGCCAGGAGACATCTGTAACAGGGTAGGGTACAAATAGTGCCTCTTCTGCAACACCTATTTCTCAAGGTTTTCTTTTCTTGACCAAAGCAGAGGGGAGAAGATCAGTCAGTGGAATGTATCTGCACCCGTTGTATAAACTTGCGTGACTCTAAACGTGTCCAATTACATGCTTTCCAGGCAGATTTCTGGGGGGAGCAGCGAGTCTGAGTCTGTGTTTCATCCCTCGTTAGGCTTTTTTCCTTCCTTAGCTGGGTGCCGAGAGGACTTGAACCACTTGCCTCTAAGAGAGTTTAGACTAATAAACATCTCAGCCAACACCAAAAATGTTTCAAAAAGACCAATATATCTTTCAGAACAAACAGTTTTTCTAAGAGAACGTATTAAACAACCAGGGAAAGTGGTTCCGTCACAGAAGGCCTCCAGCAAGGCGGGGAAGTGGCTGTCTCACAGCCCCAGAGTCATTCCCAGGGTGAGGTCCAGGCTCGGGTTGTTGGGGGTGGACAGTTTCTGAGCAGTGCCTTCTGGGCTGGAATGTGGAAGCAGCAGGTCTGGGGGAGGGTTGAGAAGGAATATGAATATGTATATGCGTATGTATAAGAATATGTGTCTGTACATGTACCCACATACACACACGCACATACACACATGCAGAATTTTTTTCTTCCCCACGTACACAGGGTCATTTGCAGGAATTCTCTTTGGCCTTCCTGCCTTGCTGAGGGTAAGAGTCAAGTACTTTACCTCTCTCTGCTTACTTAATGCTTTGAAAAAACCCTAAGAGGTAGGTAGGTACATATGAGCACCATTTTCCAAATGTGAAGGACAAACAAAGAGATTGCTCTCAAATTTGCTAGAGTTCACATGGCTTAGAAGCATGGTTTTAATTGTTGGTTTGTGAGGCTCCATGAACTCAAACTACACTGCAGGGGCAGGGGGCAGATGAAGGGTTACTGAACACAGATATCTATAACCAACCATCTGCAGAAACTGAAAAATAAGAATTTTGTTCAGATAAGCAACTAACAAGATCAGCAAAACTCCAGAACCTCATTAAGCTGTCATGTACCATGATTTGACTCAAAGTTGGCAAGTTGGCAGTATTACGGGTCCTGAGCCCAGGTCATCTGAAAGGGAGGGCAGCCAGCCAGAGGGTCACTTATTATTTTGTGTTCTTGGCTCATTTTCTGTCTCATAGTCAGGGATGCCTATGATTTACTATTGTGGTTTCCTTTTGAAATTCTTTATCTCTTTTTATTCCAATCCTGTGAGGGTAAAAGAGGTAGAGTAGGAGTAATGTTTTATGTATTACAAAGTTAGAAATAAACTCCCACGAGAATGATGACAGTGATATTTGTCAAGCCAGCCACTTTTCTAATAACTCTTACAACAACCTTGTGATCCAAGTGCCATTATTATTATTCACATTTGACAGACAAGGAAGCTGAGGCACAGAGTTTGGAACCCAACGACTGTGCTTTTCTTCCCCTTGATGGGACAGGTATTTTCCAAGTCCCAGATAAAGTGGAGGCAGACCCCTAGTTATGTCACAGATCACTGGCCTAGGGCCTGAAGGGCGCACACCCACTCTGAACTTTCTCTCAAAACATATTTTTGATGGGAAACATTCCACGCTTTCTGGGCAGCTTCCTAGATCTGTTTACTCTGAGAAATATGTTTATGACTTGCGCAAAGTACAGGAAATCATGACTTGTAGACTGGAAAACTAGCCCCCCAAAAAGTTTTTTTCGGGTATATAGGCATATGTGGGGCTTTCTGTTAAGGTGGCTTTGTGCACAGCTGTAACTGATGTGTGGGTGAGGGAAAGAGAGCTGGGACAAGGGGCCTTGGCTTGGGTTCTTGAGGCTGCTTCTCCCCTGCAACAGAGCTAATTCAAAACCTTTTTTTCCATGCACTTCAGGAGAGTTTGGGTGATGTTGTGCTTCTCTATCCCCAGATAAGCCAGACCCCCCAGCCGGCACGCCTTGCGCCTCTGATATTCGGAGCTCCTCGCTGACGCTGTCCTGGTATGGCTCCTCGTACGATGGGGGCAGCGCTGTACAGTCCTACAGCATTGAGATCTGGGACTCGGTGGACAAGACGTGGAAGGAACTAGCCACATGCCGCAGCACCTCTTTTAACGTCCAGGACCTGCTACCTGATCACGAGTATAAATTCCGTGTTCGTGCAATCAATGTGTATGGAACCAGTGAGCCAAGCCAGGAGTCTGAACTCACAGCAGTCGGAGAGAAACCTGAGGGTAGGCTGCCTTCACTTCATCACTGGCTTGAAATAAATGTGCATGATTGGCCTCATATATGTAGAAACTGTACCGAGAGGGGTGCAGAGGGACTGAGAAACATCAATGATGATTAGCAGGGCCTCTTTGAGTTTTAATTTCTAAGGTTGTGATGCTGATCCAAGACCTTTCAAAAAACATGAAACTAGCCATTTTGGTACACTGCCATCGGAGGGTGATGGTGTGTTAATCAGGGCGCACAAACCTGGAAGTCAGGCGCTCAGGTAAACCTCAGGTTCCCATATCCACACTCCACCTCTTCCCTCCTTCTCTTATACTTGTAAGTATCTTCTCCATGTCAGATGCTTGGGACACAAAGACAGATAAGACAAGGAGCTTAAAATCTAGGGGAGACAAAAAAAGCTAGGCGATGGTGTATTTACAGCTAACTATAATGAGATGGGACGCATCCTATTATCATGTATAAAGAAAGAGCCAAGGGACATGGCAGAAAGCATGGAGAGTTTTGCCCTGGAGACTGAGGAAGGCTTCCTAGGGGAGGTGACACTTAAGCCAAGTCTTGGATAAAGGAATAGGATTCTAAGAGGCAGGAGGAAACAGCATGAGCAAAGGTACAGAGTGATGGGCATACGTGGCATCATGAGAAGCTTGTGTGTAGCCAGGGCATATGTTGTGTGAGACAGGACAGGAGGAAGTAATACTAAAAGTACAATTTAGGTAAAATTGTGACATTCATCAAAGATTTTCAGGCAGGGGATTGAGAAGATTAGGTCCGTTTTCTTAGAAAGGGAACTAGGGAAAGAGGAGAGCTTTGCTACTCCAAGTGTGTTTGTGGACCAGCAGCCTTGGCACCCTGGGAGCTTGTTAGAATTGCAGACTCTCAGCCCCCGACTCCCCCAGGCCCTGCTGAACCTTCATTTTAACACCATCTGCTCCTTAGGGGAGTCGTGCACACAGGAAAGTTTGAGCAGCACTGGAGTGGAGGATGGTTAGAGGGGATGAGATTGGAATCAGCCAGATCCCAGATGGACCTCTATGATGACAGTCCAGGAGAGGATGGGAAGGGCATGAACTAAAGCCTCACCGGGTAGAAGTGACCATTACTGATGACTTTTTAGTTAGAGAGTTGAGGGAAAAATTGCAAGGGTCTAAGATGACTCCTAGTTCCTGGCTTGGGTAACTGAACACAAATTCAAGAGCCATTTAGAGGTTTATTATGATACATCGTGGCTATCGTGTATTGAGCACTCGCTATATGCTAACAACATGTTAATCACTTTACATGCGTCACTTCATTCAGTGCTAATAACCCAGTGAAGTAGAGATTGTTATTACCCCCATTTTACAGAGAGGGGAAATGACAAGATTGGGGGCAGAGAAGAAGGTGGAAGGACGTGGAGGAAAAGAGCTCTTGGAGAGAGGAGAATTTAAAAGGTGGGAGGTAGAGAGATTGTGGGAGACCAAAGTGTCAAAGGAGATAGAGAGCCGGTCCTGAAATCACCTTGTAACCAGAGGCATCATGAGTATGGAAACTGTCCTTATAATTTGATAACCCTCTTTAGTTCTAAAAATTAGGTATAGGGCTGGCCCGGTGGCGCACTGGAGAGTGCGCCACTTGGGAGCGCGGCGGCTCTCCTGCCGAGGGTTCAGATCCCATGTGGAGACCGGTTCCCGCTCACTGGCTGCGGTGCGGACGCAACACCGAGGGTTGCGATTCCATTGCCGGTCCCCGGGTACGGGCGCGACACCGAGGGTTGCGATCCCATTACCGGTCAGTAAAAAAGACAAAAAGGAAAAAAAAATTAGGTATAAAACAGGGATTAAACTTTACCTTGGCAACTTTAGATTTCTACTTCATCCTGATCTCTCTGTCTCATTTTGTGCACCCCAGCTCTCCCCCACAATCATTCACCCCATGCATCCTGCACCTCCTCCTGTGTCTCAGGCACTGCCATGAGCACTGGGATATAGTGGAGGACAAAGCCTGGGTTCCCCATCAGTTCCAGTGGCCTCCTTATGTGAGAGTCAGCCCTAAGACTAGGGTCCCTGACCTGACAGCTCCCCTCCCAGTCCCCTAAACCCAGGTAAACAGAGCCACCACCTTGTCACAACTCACTCTCTCGCATCCCAGCCAGGTCTTGAACTCCACTCCCACCCTAATCCTGCTGTGACTCTTAACTCCACTCCTCCTTGCTCCTAATCCTATTTGTCCTAGTCTATGTAGTTGTTAGCAAAACCGCTGGGATTGAGGCTTATTGCAGAGCAGGGGCCTCCTTGCAACTAGGGCAGTTAGAGATGTGAAGCCTGTGCTGCTCCCTGTCCTAGGGCTACAGCTATGCCACCTCTTGGACACTGTCTCCATGGCTGGGGAGCCCTCTAGTGCTCACTGGGCATGCAGCAGCCCTCGGCTGTAGAGAGGGACAGCTCTCTGTCCAGGGGAGCGCACCTGTGCTGTGTGAGGGTCCCAAGTGCTCCACCGGTTCTCTCCCAAACCGTTCGGGATAACGAGACTCCCATTTGTATGCAGAAACATCTCAGAATCATCTTCCAGTCTTCCACTTAGCTCCTGGATCTCATAGCTCATAGCTCATCTGAATAGGTTTTTTTTAAATGTTTAGTTGAAGTCCCTCCCACTGCAATTTTAACTCCTTCCTTATTGGAAAGATGGAAACCAAGAAGGCACCTTCTCATCACTGCAGCTCTTTATGCTTCAGGAGCTCAGCTCATTGAACTGTGGCCTTTCCTCCACTTCTCTCTCACCCCTCCCCGCCGTGGTCATTTTGCCCCTCAGATAGAAGGGAGGCAGGATGAGGAGGAAAAGGCAGAAGGGATGCAGCAGCCTGGAGCCTTGATGAGAGTTTCCCACAGAGGAAAGGTCACAGTGCAGCAGTGAGCTAGAAGGAGTGCTGAATCCCTGAGCATGATCTCGGTGCTGCCAGCCAAAGCATCAGGAGGAAGGGCGGCACAGGGCACCTTGAGAGAGCCAGGAGGGGAGAAGTAGGTGTGGTGTTTGTGAGGGTGGCAAGAAGACTCATTCTGCGGGTGTCTGGCTGGAGTCAGACTGATGGGGAGGAGCCAGTTCTGGAACTGGATGCTTCCTTAAGGCTTGCTGGGAAGTCCTCAAGACCGCTGGTGCCAGGTCATTGTCAGGGGCCTCCAGGCTCCCAGCACTGTGCGGACTACAAGGTGTTCCTCCTGAAGACACTGGGCCAAGAAAGCCTGCCTGCTCTTTGCACTCTCACCCGCTGCCCAAAACGCTCTGGTCCCCAGGCCACATGGGAAATGTGCCATGAGAACCAGAATATAAAGGATGCCTCAACAGGACAGACCCACTGTCTCAGACAGAGGCACCCAGTGCAAGACAAGGGGGCCTTGCTGACAGTAAATATTATTTTGTCCCTAAGACCTACTCCAGTGACTGGCATCCACCAGGTGTTCAACTAGTGATGAACTTGAATCTCCTGCGTCCCTTAAAACCCTGTAGGAAATATCATTGAACTTACCTAAACACCTGTTGGACCTATTATTCTCGTGGTACCTTTGGGTATGTGAGTTCCATATGCCTCCAGCCTTCTTCCTCTGGGAGGCAGAGTACCAAATGGTTCCCTGAAGTTAGAGTATTCATGAGTTGATGAAAAGTCCGAATCCTAATCTCACCCTTGCCAGCTGTGTGGTTTCCTTTCAAATTATGTCTGCTTTATACTTCTTTTCCAACTGGAGAGGCCTAACCTTGTGTGATGGTGGCCATTCCTGTCAGTGGCCCTCGCTGCCTCTTCTGGCTCCATTGCGGCTTTCTCCCTGCCAACAGTTGGAGTTCCAGGCAGAGGCCCCAAGATTGTGTCATGGGCTGCATCATTGGCTGCAGGGCAGTGATACCTGTTTGCGTTAGTGCACATTTCCTCGACGGCATTCTGTTGGCCAGAGCAGTAGGGTGGGGACTGTGCTCCCTTCCCCTGGGCTAACTGGACACATCAGGGTAGAGTGGCTCAGCTCTCCCTGAACACTGTCCCTATCGCTGGCTTCCAGATGCACTGCTCTCAGGTTATCCTTGTCATCTGTGAATTCAACAAATAGTGGATAGAACTCTCAAATACATGGGTTTAGAAAAATTGACCAGTTAGGCCACATCCCTGCAGGGGAATTGGGAAACCCCACTACTAACACTTACCAGCTAGGCAATATCTGAGGGTCTTCGTCTGTCTCATCCGTTTTTATTTTTCCACAGCAGTTTTCTTTCTGCAATAAAATATTCTGCCCAATCCCATTCATGTTTAGTTTTTTAAAACTAAACTTTGTCACCATCATTTTAAGAACTCTAAACTGATCCCAGCTTCTCTTGCTCCTGGTGCTGTGCTTATACACTCCCTCAAAACTTTTTGGCAAGAGGTACTTGCCATGTCTGGGAACCGTGTTGCTCTTCCCAGGTGGTTGGCGTAGGTTTCCAGCATGTGTTCTGCCCTCAGCCTCGCACAGCACTCAGGGCTCCATCGGCAGGTGCACTTCTCCCCGGTCCACCCATGTGCTCATCACAAGCAGGACCTGCACAGCCGTGCAGAGCTCAGCTCGCTCGCAGCTCTGCCTCCCTGCCCCAGCACCTGCCCACCCTCCACCCATCCACCCTGGCTGGCCAGACCACGGCAGATTCGTCCCCACCCGCGTCCCTCCTCTCCTCAGCCTTGCTCTGCCTGCGGGCGACTTCAGCAAGTGACACCCTTTCCCACAAGTCTTATTCACCCTTACACACACACACGATGCCACACACTGTCACACCCACCCACTCACAAACACGCGCACTCACACTCACTCGACACTCCACACACTCATACATACACACCCACCCACACATCCACATCCTCACCCTATCCTGCCCACTCACACTCTCACGTTCCTCACATCGTGTGCACACCCACTTACACACTAATGTTCTCACACTGATATGCTCATGTGCAACCCACTCACACACTCTCGTGTTCTCACACTATCTGACACACTCGTGTGCACACCCACACACACACACACTGTCCTACAAACTCATACTTACATATTCACACACACATGCAATCCCACTCTCACTATCCCATACACACATTCTCACACTTTCACGCACTGTCTGGCACGCACACACACTTACACATTTTTAAAATCCTTTCCCTCCCTCCATGATTTCTCTCACATCTTTGTTCTGTCCTCAGGAAACCTTCCTCCATCCATCTGTCAGCCAGAACACAGCCCAGGTCATGGCAGAGGAGCACAGAGCACATTACAAAGCATTGCATCTGTAGCTAGCCAGGACCCTAGAAATCCTCTGGTACAACTCCTTCCTCTTACGGATGAGGAAACTGAGGCCCAGAAAGGGGAAAGCACTTAGCTAATGTCAGAAAGCCAGAGCAGCCCTGTTGTCAAGGGACAAGCCTATTAATCAAGGCAAAGGAAAGCCTGGAGCTCTGAAGTGGATGTGTTCTTCTGGACACCCACCCTGTCCCCATGTCCCCCATTCACTCCTGACGTGTCAATGTGAGCAGCTAGTGCGGGCTGCATATGTCCCTCCTTGCCTACCTCATGAACCCCTGTTGGTTTCATTTGTGGCGACATCACTCACCCCCTCATTGTATTCCATCGTTTCATTTAAGATACAATGGCAAGGGCTACTTCTTCCAAGAATAATTGCTTTGATTTTGCCATTAACTCATTTTATGTCACCTTCCTTCACTGTGCGTTCGGTTTGTACCATGATGATATGTGCTTGACTGTAATGCCTGGTAATTGACATTTTAAGTATATATGGGTTTGCCTCTCCAACTAAATTATAAGCTTCAAGAAAGTAGTTTAAGATAAGGGAGACTTAATACACAAAGTGCAGACACAAGGCTGTGGACGCCCCCAGAGGGAAAGGTCGTTTCATGTGGGGAATGGGGAGAGAGTTCTCAGTGGGTGTGAATTTCCTCAGGCTTTGCAGGAGTGGCACTTGAATAAGCCAGTACTTCCCAAACACATCTGATCATGAGAATGACCTGAGGTACTTATTAAAAATATGAATCCATAGATCCCTCCCAAGATTTTCTAAATCAGAACCTCAAAAAATGAGCTTGGGAATCTGTATTTTCAACAAGAGCCCCAAGCGATTCTTTAAAATAGAAAATTTATAATTGACATTGAGCACTTACTATGTGCCAAGCACTCGTCTAAGCATTTTGCCTGTATTAACTCATTCAGTCTTTGCAGAAACCCGTAATAACTTCGTATAGCATACATTACGTTGCCGGTCCCCGGTCCGGTACGGGAGCAACACTGAGGGTTGCGATCCATTGCCGGACATGGAAAAAGACAAAAAAAGCCAAAAAAAAAAAAAAGAAAGTAGGAGAGATCACGCCTTCCATGTGCTTTGTTTTGCGTGTGCCCACAATAACTGGCAAGACACTAGGTACACTGCTGGAATTTCGTAGAGAGTGTTCAGCACATGGATGCATGGATTTGGCACTAGGAGCAATTGTAAGTTGCTGAATTTCAAGCCGGGGCAGAAAGGGACAGTCGCAGCTGCGTGTAGGTTCTGAAAGTCAAGAGGGACTGGAAGAGATGTGGAAAAGGGTCTGTCTGGAGACCGCAAGGTTAGAGAGGAAGGGATGGAGGCAAGCTCTGGTAGAGGAGTGGTGATGGGCGGGGTGAGGAGGCTGGCACCTGCCACTCAGCACATGGCCCTTTCGGCAGTAAGGACTAACCAATGCCAGGGGATGCCCAGAGTGCTGGGCTGGTGGTCCTGTGCCCAGCAAGGCCCCCAGCATGTCTTGCTCTCCATTGGCCTTCAGTTCTAATCTCCATGTCTTCTCCATTCCTCCTTGTATCCCCCCAGAGACGAAGGATGAAGTGGAGGTGTCAGATGATGGTGAGTGCTGGCCACTGTCCTCTGGTCAGGCTTGTGGGTGGAGGGACTGAGAAGGGGATCTGATGGCTCACACCCTGACCCCTGACCTGCAGATGAGAAGGAGCCCGAGGTGGATTACCGGACGGTGACAGTCAATACCGAGCAAAAAGTATCTGACTTCTACGACATTGAAGAGAGACTAGGATCGTAAGTGGAGTGGGAAGCTGCCTCAGGCCCCAGGGTGAGGGTGGCATAGGTCTGCAGTAAAATTCCTGTCTTCCTGTCTTTTCCTGGGCTCTGCCTCCTCCCCAGACTGAGATTCCTGCAGAATCAGCAGGGATTGACCCACGAAAGCATCACTCACCTAGGGCTCTCCTCCGAGCTGCTCTTGCAGTTCTGCAGTGGCCCAACTCTGCGAAAGCCTTAGGCAGGTCCTTGCTTTTCTGTGCCTCTGTTCACAGCACAGGACTGAAGGGAGAGGGCTGGACCTGGATCACATTATCTTTAGGATCACTTTTAATCCACAAAAGTCATGGAGTCTGCTCAGTGCTCAGTGCTTGCTGCTCAGCAATGCCAGCTTTAGTGCTTCATTACAATGCAGACACCATGGTTCCTTTATGGACTTGGGCCACACTGTTTACTCGGGCTTCTCCCTGGATTGTGGAGGACACCTGTGGGCTCCGACTCCAACTCGGAGTCCTCGTCACAGCCAAGCTGTCCATCTCCCCCTAACTCCCTCTCCCTGTGGGACTACAAGAGGTGGAAGAAAAAGGAATGGGGCTCAGCTTGTATTTCCATTGATTTCTGGAAAATAAAGGAGTGATGTGAACCTTAGAACAGCTCTGTAAAGGGAGTTTGAACTGTTGGAGTGAGTTGCATCAGAGAAACCTCACACTCCCCTCTCCAGGCAGAGGGAAGCAAGACCCTTCCTGGGCTGTGGCTGGGATCAGTGCCAGAGGGTGGAGAGGAAGGCAGGCAGCTGCTCAGCAGCTCCATGTGTCTGGGAAGGACTGCCTCAACCCAACCTCACGAGTCCCTCTGCAGGGAAGAGAGGGGAAGTCCATCAACCACGATTGAGAGTAGATTTGTCAGCATTAGAAATGTGCGTCACTGATCTAGAGCAGGATTCAGCAAACTTTTTTCATAAAGGACCAGATAGTCCCATTTTAGGCTTTGTGAGCCATACTCCTGTGTTACTGCTCCTCAGCTCTGACACTGCAGCACAAAAGCAGCCGCAGACAATATGAAGGCAAATGCATGTGGCCACATGCCAGTAAAACCTCACTTATTAAAAAGAGGCAGGCCAGATTTGTCCCGTGGGCCATCATTTGCCAACCCCTATTTAGTGGAAAGCTTGGCTGAATTTGGCTTTTCTCTTCTCCCCCTTTTGTTGGCAGTGGGAAGTTTGGACAGGTCTTCCGACTTGTAGAAAAGAAAACTGGAAAAATCTGGGCAGGGAAATTCTTTAAGGCATATTCGGCGAAAGAGAAAGAGAATATCCGGCAGGAGATTGGCATCATGAACTGCCTGCACCACCCCAAGCTGGTGCAGTGCGTCGATGCATTTGAGGAGAAGGCCAACGTCGTCATGGTCCTGGAGATGTGAGTGGCTCCCCACTGTCCTAGCCCAGCCACCTCTGCCCCAAGATGGAAAGCACTGCAGACAGGGCTGTGATGTGCAAGATACTCACCAGTGTGGCTGGGGCTGACCAGTCGGAATGAGAAGGTCTGTGCACAGCACTGCCCCGACCCACTGAGCACCAGCCTGGCTGCAGCCTGTGCTCATTTCCAGACCAAACTGGCAGATCTTGGAGGACCCCTCCACCCTTTTCACCTGCATCTCCCCATGACGGGACCAAAGCTATCCCTAGGCTCCTTGGTTCCTTTCAGGAGCATTCTTACCTATAGTTGGGTTACAGTCAAAGGGGAGGGACAGGGCAGCTTCCTGATTTCCCTGTGAAAGAGAACAGGGCCCAGGGCTGGGAGCTCAGAGCTCCTTGATCCAGCCCGCTCACTGTGCTTCTGCATTCCCCCTTTCCACCCTTGTTTGTTCTCCTGACTTCTCACTCACCAGAGGAGCACTTTCTCTGCTGGGCTGTACAAAGGCAGGGGATGGATCGCATGGCCTCCAGCTATGGCTTTCCTGGAATCTGTTGTTTCCTCCACATCATAGTCCTCCACCTCCCTCACCTCTGAGCTGCTGATGCACCCTCAGGAGCACATGCACACACATACACATACACACATGCGCATACATACACACGCACACACACATGCACACACACATACACACGCACACACACATAAACACGGACACACATATGTAAACACAAACACCTACACACATATACAGATACAAGCACATGAACACACATACAAACACACGCACTAGCAGCAGTAACCCACATATCTCCATGTCACCTATATTTTTTCAGAGCTTTCTTTTTTTAATATTTGGTACAATCACATAAAAAAATACATAAGAGAATACACAGTGAGAAGTCTCATTCTCTGGGGGCCGGCCCGGTGGCGCACTGGATAAGTGCGCCGCTTGGGAAGCGCGGCGGCGCTCCCGCCCGGGGGTTCGGATCCCACATACAGACCGGTTCCCGCTCACTGGCTGAGCGAGGCGCGGGAGCAACACCGAGGGTTGCAATCCCGTTGCCGGTCCCCGGCCGGGTACGGGGGCAACACTGAGGGTTGCGATCCGTTGCCGGACACGGAAAAAGACAAAAGACAAAAAAAAAAAAAAAAAAAAAGAAGTCTCATTCTCAGCCCTGTTCCAAACCCCACCCCCACCACTACAGGTAAACAATTATAATGGTTTTGTCTGTATCCTTACAAAGTATTTTTATGAAAGTACAAACATATATGATACATACTAGGGTACTTCAAAAAGTTCATGTAATGATTCATATTATCTTTTAATTCTGTTTTCCCACAAACTTTTTGAAGTATGCTCGTATATTCTTATTTTCCTGCCTTTTAACAGAAAAGGTGACTTATTACATTCACTGTTCTATACTTTGCTTTTTCAGCAAATTGCTGTGGGAGATAGTCCCATATCAATACCTAGTGAGCATCCTCATTCTCACAGCTCCATGGGATTTCGTTGTATCCGTATATCACAATTTATTTAGTCTTTTGGTAAGAGGTTGGGTGGTTTCCAGTCTTTTGCTTTTACAAGCAAACATTGTTTGTACCCTTGTACGTACATCTTTCTACTCATGCCCATGTATATCTGTAAGATAAATTCTCAGAAGTGAAGGAGTGCTGGATTAAAGGGTATGAACGTTTGAAATGTTTAAAGATACTGTAAAATTGCTCAGCATCCTTGAATTGCTCGCCCTGAACTTTGGGGATCTCAGTCCTATAGAAAGAACTCTATCAGCATCTTGGCATTCTTTCCCAAGAAAGGTGAAGCCAGTAACACATCCCCAAGCTTTAGTTGTGAATGGAATGTTAGCCTTTTCTCTCCCCTCATTCCACTAACATTTTGGTATATTTCCATTCAGTATGTGTTCCTCAGGAAAGGCAGTGTTGGTTAAGAGCACAGACTTGAGTCAGATAAACCTTCCTTCAAATCCCAGCTCTGCCTTTTACTCGTTATTTGTCGTTGAATAAGTTACTCAGCTGTCCAATGCTTAGTTTTACTATCCACAAAAGAGGACATTGAAGCCAGCTCATGGAGGCTGTGGGATTAAGTGGATAATGCTGATATTAGTGGTGTGACATGCTGACTTTTTCTGTATCATGATCTCTTCCACTTACAAGCACTCTGTGAGCATTTTAACATCTACCTAGGTGTTGTAGAACAAATCCTCCCTAGTATTCAGGAAGCCTGTCTTCAGGTTCTGCTTCTATTGAGTCGTGATTTTGTGACTGTTAAATCCTACCAGCAAGAAGATGCATTTGGATTAGGATAATCAGTCTCATGACTCCCCTTTTGGCTAGAAAATTCTACAATTTTGTGGAGCCATAAAAGACTCAGAGAAAATCTTCATTTTTATCTTACAATCTTTTTGCAGCCCCCAATTCAAACTTTCCTCCCCACTTTTGGGAAATATTTAGCCGATGCCTGTGGCTTCCTTCATCATACCCTCACATTTATTCTACAACAGGTTGCTTAGTCCAGGCAGCAAGGGCATGTGAGGACATGTGGAAAAATGTCTTGTCTTTAGAAGTTAAGCTTTGAGCAAGTTTGTGAGAGGCGACAGGGAGGGGGGCAGGAGGCAGCTGGGCCTGGGTAAGGGCAGGCAGCACTAGTGGGCAGAATACCATACTTAGCTTGGAATTGGGAGTTGGCAAGCTGGATGGAAAAAGTAGGAAGAAAATGTAAGAAGGCTTTAGTGGGTCTGGCTTTCATCCCTCTACCACACCTCCCCCGTGGACAGGAGCAAGTTTTACATGCACAGATGCCAGAAGAGTCCCCTGCACTTGGGGCAAGGAGCTTGCTCAATCAAAGAAGAAGGGAGCAGGTTCATACTCCATCTGTCTATCCCTTCCAGCTTAAACATTTTGAGGCTTGGCCAGTGAGAGGGGAAAGGTTGATTTTTTCAGCAGTGCAATTTGCTCTTCTCCTTGTTCAAGATTAAGAGAAGGATGATGTCTGGTTTATATAGAAAAGCGAAAATGTATTCCAGGCTCCCATCCTTCAATTCAGCTGCAATAAACATAGTGAGAAATAAGAATGAATGTGTGTCTTCAGCCTTTCTGACTTCTGATTACTGGGCAAGTCCCCATCATTGCTCCGAGACAGCAGTCCCTTCAGGCCCCTGGCCTGGAGCCTGGGCTTTTCCTTTTGGAAGTGCTTCGGACATTTCAGGTGGTGGTAGGAACCTGAGCCCTGAAGAGGATGTGAAGCTTGGACTCAGTCACCCATGGCTGATCTCATCTTTGTGCTACTGTTAGTGAAATTTAGAAAGAACATCCAGCTGGCTGCTGTGAGACAAGGAGCAGAGGGCCTGGGTATCAACTCCCCTGATAGCACCATTCCTTCTGTGCCCACCAGGGCCAAAGTCTAGAGTTTAGGGGACAAATTTGATCCCTTGTGATTAGGTAGCCTTGGTGATAGTAAGTATTCACTCATTTATTCACTCACTCACTATTAATTACTAAGCACACATTACCTCTGGACCAGTCTTGGCCCTTGGCATTATCCCATCTCTGTGGGTGGCAGCTTCTTTCTTTCAAACCAATACTTTTCACCCATAGTCTTGAGCATTTTGAAGAGAAGCCTACAGAAGCAGTAATCCTGCTTGTTTAACCTCTTCCAGCTACAGAGTGGATCATAGGAACAGTTTTAATAAGATATTAAGTATGTTTGAATAGGATTGAACACACTGGAACCGATATCGAATGGGTTACCTCTAGAAATGCAGTAGTAATTCTCTCCATGGCTCAGATTTTTACCACTCTTTACCTCAGACTTCCCAAGGGCACTAAAAATAATGGTTGCTTGCTTTTTCAGAATCTTTTAAACTTAAAAGCAAATATTTGGGGACACCTTGTTTGTGTCAGATATTGCCAGATGCAAATAAGAGTACAGAGATGAGCCAGAGCTTTTGCAGACATGTCCACAAATAACTTTAAGATAAGGGAGACTTAATACACAAAGTGCAGACACAAGGCTGTGGACGCCCCCAGAGGGAAAGGTCGTTTCATGTGGGGAATGGGGAGAGAGTTCTCAGTGGGTGTGAATTTCCTCAGGCTTTGCAGGAGTGGCACTTGAATAAGCCAGTACTTCCCAAACACATCTGATCATGAGAATGACCTGAGGTACTTATTAAAAATATGAATCCATAGATCCCTCCCAAGATTTTCTAAATCAGAACCTCAAAAAATGAGCTTGGGAATCTGTATTTTCAACAAGAGCCCCAAGCGATTCTTTAAAATAGAAAATTTATAATTGACATTGAGCACTTACTATGTGCCAAGCACTCGTCTAAGCATTTTGCCTGTATTAACTCATTCAGTCTTTGCAGAAACCCTGTGAAGTGGTGCTGTTTTTATCTGCATCGTACAGATAAGGAAACTGAGGCACAGAGATGTTAAGAATTGGCCGAGACCTAAGACTGTTGATTAGTTTTTTTTTTTTTTTTTGTCTTTTGTCTTTTTCCGTGTCCGGCAACGGATCGCAACCCTCAGTGTTGCCCCCGTACCGGACCGGGGACCGGCAACGGGATTGCAAACCTCAGCGTTGCTCCCACGCCTCGCTCAGCCAGTGAGCGGGAACCGGTCTGTATGTGGGATCCGAACCCTCGGGCGGGAGTGCTGCCGCGCTTCCCAAGCGGCGCACTATCCAGTGCGCCACCGGGCCGGCCCGATTAGTTTGACGTGGAGCCCTGGTGGAGAGCAATAGAAATGGAGGCCTTAAGAACAAGAGGTGCCACCTGCTGGCCTTGCAGGGACCTTCCAAAGGTGTTGCCCCCGTACCGGACCTTGCCCCCGCACCGGGCCGGGGACCGGCAACGGGATTGCAACCCTCAGCGTCGCCCCCATGCCTCGCTCAGCCAGTGAGCGGGAACCGGTCTGTATGTGGGATCCGAACCCTCGGGCGGGAGTGCTGCCGCGCTTCCCAAGCGGCGCACTATCCAGTGCGCCACCGGGCCGGCCCGATTAGTTTGACGTGGAGCCCTGGTGGAGAGCAATAGAAATGGAGGCCTTAAGAACAAGAGGTGCCACCTGCTGGCCTTGCAGGGACCTTCCAAAGGGGTTGGTTCTAATGCGTCAATTCTAGCTCCCCCGAGTGGCCATTGGCACAAACTGACCTTTCCCAGATCAGCCCTTCCAGAAGGGTGTGTCATATGGTGAGAGAGGCAGACAGGCTGTGGTGTGCTGAGCCCCATAGTGCATCCCTGTCTGTCTCTACTGCAGGGGTCAGTAACAAGACCCACCTGGCCCACCAGTTTGTCAAACGATAACTAATATGTGCTGAGCACCTACTATGTGTCAGATATATTTTACAAAGGCTCCTACATTCCTAACAACTCTATAAGGTAGGGACAGATAAGGAAACTGGGGCCCAGAAAGGTTAATTAGCTTGCCTGAGGTCACACAGCTCATGAAAGTCAGAGACAGGATTCAAACTCAGCTCCTTCCCTTCATGATGATTCCCCTCAGGGGAGGGAATGCCCTTGAAGAGAGCAGGCCCAGAATGAAGCATATACAGCCTTGTTCAGCTGGTGGACCCATAGGCTGTTGCAGAAAAGTGAGCTCAGTCATGTCTAGATGCTGCATAAGTTATTAAGGAGATGCCTTCAACTTGCTGAGCAGTGAGCAAGGAAGGTAGGTTGGAGGGCTGGGACAGGGGAACAGAGAGGACCCGTGTAACTCAGGCAGCGGGGCTGTGCATTTGCACCGAAGGGCAGTATGCTGGCTGGCTGATATCTGAGGCAGTCCTTAGCAGAGGATGCCTGGCTGTGGGCTCCAGAAGCACAGAATTGAATGAACATGGCTAGGATCCAAAGTCTATCCAGGTAGAAAGGATTACACTTCCAGCCTGGGCAAGGGGTCCAGGTAAGACAAGTGAATTATGGCCAGAAGCAGCAAACTGATACTACAGGCCTAGTCAGAGTAAGCAAATCTAACACAACTGTGGGTATAATGGGTTACAGCCAACTAATTTTAGAATATTTGCTGAGGCTCTTATTATTTCTGTTCCTGGCTTTGCAAAGTAAATGTTTATGGGAACTACGAGTATTTTAAATTTCATTTCCCTGTGACTAAAATACACAGCTAGGGTGCAAGAATGTTCCCTATGCATCTGTGGTCATTTGAGGGAAAGAGACTTCCCAGCGTTCACCCTTTTGCTAAGGATCTTGTGTCTGGATCTCTCTGTTTATGCACACCTCTGAAACTGCTTGGCCTTGATGCTTCCCTGAATTGCCCGGCAGCTTAGCAGGTGCAGGGCAGGGTCCCCCAAGCAGGAAGGCCCTGACCCTCCTTGTGTGACGGAAAACTGGGACTCAGGAAGCTGTAGATGGTGCCCATCACCCCTGTGCCCCCTACCCCCAGCTTACCCTTGGCCAGATTCTCTGCCAGCTCAGCCTCCATGATCCTGTGATCTGACTGTCCCTGTGTTCGTCCCGCCTTCCTCTGTTGCGCAGTGTGTCGGGGGGTGAGCTGTTTGAGCGCATCATCGATGAGGACTTCGAGCTGACGGAGCGCGAGTGCATCAAGTACATGAGGCAGATCTCGGAGGGGGTGGAGTACATCCACAAGCAGGGCATCGTGCACCTGGACCTCAAGCCTGAGAACATCATGTGTGTCAACAAGACAGGCACCAGGATCAAGCTCATCGACTTTGGTCTGGCCAGAAGACTGGGTAAGGCCCCTGTTGTCACTGCTGTGTGTTGGCACTGACTGTTTGTGTTCCCCACACTGAGTATTAGCAGGAACGAACAGTATTGGGATCGAATCAATGACCATGGAGACTCTTGAGGCTCAAGTCCTGCCCCTGCTACTTCTAGCTGTGCGACTGTGAGCCTCAAAGTCCTCATCTGTAAAGTGGGATGATAGTAGTCCCCACTCATAGAGTCATTAGGAAGATCAAATGAGTTAATAAAGGTAAAGCGGGAGGGGCAGTGCCTTGCACGTAGTAAGCACTATGTGGGGGTTAGCTGTTTAGTTCATTGCGGGGGGGGAACCCCCTCTTTTGTTTTTTTGCTATGGTGCCATTAGTGGCAAAACTCATTTTGATGATGGTGGCTCCTCATGTCTATATCATACTGTAGTTTCCACAGCACTTTTACATTTTATCTCATGAGCCTCAGTTTGTAGACCAGGAAAACAAGGTTCACTATAGCTTTGCCCAGCAGGTTCCACCATGGGTCCAGCTCAGAGTCTCTGGTGCCTCTTCTATTCCTGTGCTAGGCAGGAGGGAGACAGTGGGGGCAGGTGGTCAGGGCCTTCAGATCCAGCCCTGAAATCATTTGGGTCAGTGACTGTCTGCCTCACATACTGCCTACATCTACCCTGTAGCACTTTGATGTCTTAATAATCAAGGAAACAGCTCCACACATGCCCCCGTCAGCCATTGTGCTCTTCAGGGAGCCCCAGGGTTGAAGGGAGCTGGCTTTTATTTTAGTAGCCTGTGGGGAGCAGGAACGTGCTGGCCAACCTAAAATCACCCAGTAAACCTCCTCCTAGGAGGGCCAGTCCTGGTTGAGGCCAGTTGGTGCTCCAGAGGAAAGGGTGAGGTCCCGATGGACCAGGACTTGCCTGCTGGTCAGTGCAGGTGGGCAAGAACCTTCTATCATGCTGAGCAGATGCACCCACCCTGCTCTTTTGTGCTAACGGGACAGTGTGGGACCATCTGCTTGTTCAGGACTTGAGCCTGAACAGTTTCCATGGTCATTGATTTAAGCCCAATACAGGGCCTGCCTGTGGACAGTAGCCACTAATAAATTAAACAAATAGGCAGGCCACTGGCCTCAGGAACCACAGTGCCCACCAAGGACCAGAGAACTGGGAGTTGGTTAACAATGCAGCAGGAAGGGCTCAGGTTAGAGTTGGAGCAGAGAGCAGAGCTTCCACATCATGTGGCTGAGAAATGCTTTGGTTTAGAACATTTGCAGGGCTCTGTAAAGTTAAACTAGACCAGATATGGCCCACTACCCCACCCCACCCCCTACTGCTAACAGTATCCCCCAGGAGCTAGTACCTATGCATAGTGCTTGCCTTCAGTGCATGCTAGCGGGCATCTTTGGTCCTCTATGGCTAAGAGGCACCACCTCAGGGTTAAGGCCTCTACCAACTAGCCTCCTGCAGCTCCTGGGAGGAGAGACAAGAAGCTATAGGATAAGTAGGCGAGGCGAGGGGTGTAGTAGTGGAGAACATGGCCAGGAGTCAGACCTCCTGGGTGTAAGTCCTGACCACCACTTATTAAGTGCTGGGGAATCACTTCACCTCCCCGGGCCTCATTTTCATCCTCGGAAGCATGGGTGTCACACCTACTTGTTAGGATTGTTGAGACTATTAATTAGGGAAATCCTTGTACAGATGGTAGCAGGGTACGTAAGACATAGTGAATGTTAGAGTCAGTGAATGGTAGAGATTATTATTAAGCATGAGTCACAATCCCTGCCTTGGGGAACTCATGGGAGAGCCAGACACTAAAAGACTAATGGGGCTGGTGCTTTAACAGCCCAGCTCAGGACATTTGAGGTTAGTGCAGTTTGTTGGTTTCACTTGTTTAACAAGGAGGCCAAATGTCTGTGCCATTGTCCAAGGAGACAACACCCAAGGGCTGAGCCCTTGACAGTGTCCCTCCCGGGTTAGGGAGGCTCCCTGATGTGCTGGAAATTGATCTCTCTCCATTCTGGTTTCAGAGAATGCGGGGTCTCTGAAGGTCCTCTTTGGCACCCCAGAGTTTGTGGCCCCTGAAGTGATCAACTACGAGCCCATTGGCTATGCCACGGACATGTGGAGCATCGGGGTCATCTGCTATATCCTGTGAGTCCCAGGCACGCAGGGAGGGGGCAGAGAGTCCTGCAGGGTCCCCAGGCTGCCCTGGCGTTGTGAGGGAGGGGCTGGGCTAGGCTGGGCCATAATGGGGAGGCCTGCCCCGGTGTCAGGAGAGTGTTAGGCTCCCAACCCATCCCTGCCAGCCCACCCTGCTCCTGGGCTTCTGACAAGTCAGTGGCCTGCATCACACTTCTGTAGCAACGTGTAGCTCTGCACACCGAAATCCCCATTCTGCACCCCTCACTGTCCCCAAGGCTGGCAGCCCAGGGCCTGTGGTCAATGTGGCTGGCACCACGTAACACCCCCTGTATCAGTCTGTTTTATGTTGCTATAACAGAATACTTGGAACTGGGTAATTTATAAAGAAAAATGAAATTTATTGCTTACAGTTTCTGAGGCTGGGAAGTCCAAAGTTCCATCTGGTGGTGGTGACAGTCTCACATTGCAAGATGGTGGAAGCAGAGAGAGAGAAAGACAGGGTGGAAGCAGAGAGAGAGAAAGACAGAGTCTCCTTTTCTTTTACAGTCCTCAGAACCACTCCCCTGGCCACCATTTTTAATCCATTCTCTACTGCATGGTCCTACAATCCAATCACCTCTTCAAGGCTCCGCCTTTCAATTCCCATAATAGGATTTCCCACTCGGTTAACAGTCACAGTGGGGACTAAGATTCTAATACATAAAACTTGGGGGTCACAATTCAAGTTTCAGGGAGTTTTGGGGAGACACAATTCAACCCACTACACCCACTTACTTGCGTAGGTGAGTTAATGGAGGAGGGATATTGCCATTGCCTTCTGAGGACAGCACCCCACCCTCATGGAATGGGGACCCCAACTGCCAGCCTCATCTCTTGAATCCAGTATATGGGCTGATTAATAAGCACTTTGGGACCAACAGACAAAAGAAAGTAGGACAGTAATTAGAATTGGGAAATTGGATGGGAAATATGAAGCCATTTAAATTAATGCTACAAAAAAGAGGGGAGGCCAGCAGCCTAGACCAGTGCTTCACAAACATTAACATGCTCAAGTCACTAAGTATCTCCTTAAATTGCAGGATTTGATTCAGAAGGCCTGGGGGATTTGAGATTCCACATTTCTAGCAAGCTTCAGGTTGCCGGTGGTGCTGGTCCAAGGACAGCACTTTGAGTAATGAAGCTCTAGAACACATCCTCTTGGTGGGGTCTCTCTGATTTAGTCCCTGAAGCCCCAGGCTACAAACAGTCATCAGCCTCTGAAGTAGCCCTTGAACTTGTGTGGCAATGTGCAGTTATGTGATGGTCTCCCCAAAGATGCAGACCTGCCTGCATTCATTAAAAAAAAAAAGTTTGTTGGGCCGGCCCGGTGGCACACTCGGTAGAGTGTGGCGCTTGGGAGTGCAGCGGCGCTCCCGCCGAGGGTTCGGATCCCATATAGAGACCGGTCCGCTCACTGGTTGAGCGCGGTGCGGGCGTGACACCGAGGGTTGCAATCCCGTTACTGGTCATGAAAAAAGACAAAAAGGAAAAAAAAAAAAGTTTGTTGTCAAAACCAAAGGAAAGTTAAACATTTTCATAGAAAACTTGAAGAGGACCTCTAAGAATACTTTCTTAGATCCCTGAGGTTTTCAGATCTCAGTGTGAGAAAAGGCTCTAGGTGATTCTGATGCACAGCCAGGCTTAGGAACCACCTTAGCTTTAGCACAAGTGGGCAATTTTTGTACAATATGCCTTTTTCACGTGCTCAGGAGTTACACTCACTGTGCCCTGTTAGAACAGCCTCCCTCAGTTGAACTTTTGCCACCGGCTCTGTACCCTAAACAGTCACCTTCTTCCCTACCCACGGTCACCTCCACAGTCTCCCCTAGATCTGCAGAGAAGAATCCCCTGGCCAGATGTGTATCTCCCTTCCTCTCCCACCCCAGACCTCTCTGGGAGAGGAGAGCAGATTAAGTAAAGATGTCTTACTCCCAGCTCCCATGGTAAATAAGGAACAGCAGGGCAGGGGCCCAGGACAGAGCTCATACTGATCTCTGGCCCCAGCGCAAACACCTGACCCTTGAGAGCTGTCCTTGGTCAGCTCCCTCTGTTCAGATCCAGCTGTCCTATAGCCTGGCTTGGTCCCTAGGTCCCTCTCCAACCATCAAGAGGACTTGGGGCTGGCCAGTTAGCTCAGTTGGTTAGAGTGAAGTGTTGATAATACCAAGGTCAAAGGTTTGGATCCCCATACTGGCCAACAGCAAAAAAAAAAAAAAAGGAAACTTGCCTTACTATTTGCTCCTCAGTTGATTTTATTGTCCTCACTGATTTTCACGTGGGATCTTGTTTGATCTAAAATGGGGACAGTGCTGGGCAAACCAGGATGACTGGTCTCTCTACTAGTCAGTGACAGAGCAGTGACTAGACTGCTCAATAAGTTTTCACAGTGAACACACCCATTTAACCTGTACCCAGATCAAGAAACCAAACACCACCAGGGCCCCACTGCCTCTGGTGTCCACTCCTGGTTACTGTCCCCCCAGAGGTAACGATTATCCTCATGTATAATGTCATGAATTAGTTTTGCCTGTTCTTGAACTTTCTTTAAAAGAAACCATAAAGAAGTGTCTGGCTTCTTTCGCTCAACATTGTTTGTGAGGTTTATTCATGGTATTATGTGTAGTTGTAGATTGCTCATTCTCAGTGCTATGTAATAGTCCACTGTGAATATAACCCAATTAATTTGTCCATTCTACATTGATGGGCTTTTGAGTATTTGTAGTTTGGGGTATTACAAACATTCTGGTACATGTGTTTTAGTGGGCATATTTATTTATTTATGCATTTCTGTTGGATGTATGTGTGATCTAGAACTATAATTACTGAGACATAAGGGTGCTTTATTTTAAAATGAAAATTATTTTAGGTGGAAAAACATTGTAATTTGGGTACTATCTTATGTTGTACTAGATTACTTTTAGAGCTAAGACCAAGAAATAGGGAAGTTTTTGAAATAGGGAGAGATAATTTTGATGCACAGTCTCCTATCTGAAGGTATGCGGGCGGGAGGGTTGGTGGCAGGGAGGCAGGTGAGGAGCAGGACAGGCACTGACTCAACCCTGCGCAGTGGCCTGGTTACTGGACCCACCACTGTGGGCTGCTGCCCTCCAGGACTTTTCTGGGCTGGCTCTCAGAGTATTGATAGAGGTCTAGAAGCGCCTCTCCTAAGCTAGTGCTCTCAGCAGAGCATGTGGTGCCAAAAATGAAAGTTGGAACCAACTAGATGGTTCCCTTTAAGCCTCTGCTATGCAGAACTGTGGAGCTGCTGCTGGAAGCACCCAGAAGAGGTTTTGGAGTGGCCCTCGTGGCATCCTCTGCCCCACTCTGTCCCTCTCTTTGGAGCCTGGTTGTCTGTCTGGCAGTCTCTGTCAGGGCCACTTACACCTGTATACCAGAGAACCCCTCCTGATCTCCTTGCTGGGGCCAGTGAGAGATGGAGAGGCCAGGGAGTTGGAGGGGACGGGTGATATGGCATTTGTTATTCAATACGTAGCTGGCGAGCACTCCCTAAGCCAAGAGCCCTGTCCCTGAAGGGTGATCTGACTTCACTGGAGGAACTCCTTTGCAGAGAGGTCCAGAGGAATACCTGCCCCGGCACTAGAGACACCAGCCTGCTGCCAGCTGGGTTTTCCAGGCAGGGTGGAGAAGGAGCAGAGGGGGCTGTGAAGCCCCTGCCTTCTCACCCTTGACGGAAGGGAGAGATTAGATTCCATGAACCTCCTGGATACCTTCCTTCTGAAGCTAGCAGCGCCCATTTGGTTTCTGTCAGGAGGAGAGAGTACAGGGGAGCTGGAGGCCACACTTGCAGGTGGAAGAAATTCTAAACCCGCCTCATTTTCCAAGACCTCCCTCCCTCTGCTATCTCCTTCTCCCTATTTCCCTGTGCCCTGCCCTCCTCCCTACTCCAGAATTCCTTCTCTCCCTGCCCTCCCCCAAACCAAAAGGAAGAAACAATTACTGCTCTGCTTTCTCCTCCCCACCATCTTCCTGACTGGGCTCAGCAACGCAGACCTCCCATTTCAGCTCATTTGTTGAGCACCTGCGTGGTCCAGAGAGCCAGGGGCCATCCCCATCCTGTGTGTGGTCAGGGGGTGCCAGGAGGGAGGAGAGTTTGTGTGGTCGGGAGGCAAGTGAGCTCTTCTGGGACAGCAGCCCAGCTAGCTAGAAGGGGTCGCAATGCATTGGAGCACCTCCCCACAGTGGGGTCTGGATACAGGTCTCTTCAGAGGGGTCCGCTAGCCTCTGTCTTCCCCACCCAGGCTTCCCCTGTCCTGTCTGCTGCTGAGTCCAGATATGCTCTCAGATCCCAGCCCTGTAACCTCCAGGCTCCCCACTTCCTGGCCAAGCCCTGCCACCACCTTCAGGTTTTGCTGTTCAGGGCCTCGGGCTGTGGTTAATACGAGTGAACTGAAGGTTGCTACTCCCTCGGCCACAGTACAAACGATACTCACCTCTTCCTGTGGACCTGTGCAGCCCTCTCACGTCTCCCACCAGAGTACCTGAAAGCTAAAATAGGATAACAGAGCAATCCCTTCCTCAGCACTCAGTAGTTGTGCTGGCAGGTGTTGGTCCCTGTAGCTGGCCCCTCATGCAGCAGGGTTGTCTGTCTGCTGCTTGAATAACCGTGTGGAGGATGCACAGTCCAAGAGGCGTTTCTCAACCTCCTCTCTCCTGCCCTTCTGATCTGAGGGCAGAACGGGCCTCCACATCAGATTCCCCGGGGGAAGTTCTGCAGGGAGATGAAGAACCAGGACGTGAGAACGCCCTACAGTTGTGACGTTTGTGATCCATCAGCACAAAGGCTATTTGACCATTAAAAATGGATGTGAAAATTCTGTATATACTTGGGATGTCAAGTGAAGAAAAAGTAGAGCATTCAAGAGCTTGCCCATACTGATGACAATTTTGTGAAAACCAGATAAATCTGTTGGTTAGAAATTAGCACTAGGAAGGGAAGAGTTGAATTTTTAATGCTAACATTATTGTATTTGTTGATTGTATTGGTTGATTTTTAACAAATAATGACTTTTTAAAATAAAAAGATAAATGGTCCGTTATGCAAATTCTAGCAATAAAGGAAAAAGGAAAGTCCAGAGGCCTGCCGGTTACTTAGTTGGTTACTAAGTAACCAGTGTGGCGCTGATAGCACCAAGGTCTAGGATTCAATCCCTGTACCAGCCAGCTGCCAAAAAAGAAAAAAAAAAATCCCAAAATGAAAGTTTTAAAATATCCTGCAAAATCCCACCACCCAGAAACAGCATTGTTGAAAATTCGAGCACTCTCTTCGTCCCCATGATGTGCATATATTCCGTGCTTTATTCCAGTGTGCTCTTTAACAGGGAGAAGGCGGAGGAGCTCCCTCAGATGGACAGGCTGCCAGGAAGGAGGAACGCCAGGGGCCAGAGGCGAGGAGGCTCGCCCTGACCATAGCTTTACAGAGATTAAGTCTTATCTTTGCAGGATTACAGTTCCTAATTAGGAAAGGAAGTTTGCATAAGGGGGCCTTTCAGCATTCCACAGCAGGGTTGTTGGCTTTTCCTGCTATCTTTTGGAGTGCTGCAGGACTGTCCCCTCTTCATTTCAAATGGAAAATGTAAAGATAAGCAGCAGATAGCTGACAAGCTAGAGACTGGCAGCTTCCTGATGGGGCTTGTGTAAGCAACGAAGATAACAGAGATGGGAGAGATGGGAGGCCCCAGGGAAGTCTAGCCTAGTCCTCTTGGTGTATAAAAGAGGAAACTGAGGCCCAGAGGGGAAAGGAGTAGCATATAATAGTGCAGACTTGGGGACTGGTAAACTTCCCTTTCCCTCATGGGGACATAACCGAGAATGATTATCTCTTTGCCTTTTTAGAACATAAATCAGTGTCTTGCTTTAAGAAAATGCCATATACAAAAATCCATTACTTAAAAACACAGATATGTTGATAAAGGTGAGATAATTCACATTGCAAAAGCTTTCTTCTCTATATAAAAGATTTCACCAGAAGGTTCTTCCCATGGCAAGCTTCCTTCCAGTATTTCAAGTGGGTTTGTTCTACCATACTGTGTTAGGGTGTGGGTGGATTTCATAAGCTGAGGCCCCCGAACACCGAAACAGCTCCAGGAGGTGTTAGTGCATTGTTGTTTCTGATGATGGATTCATAAGGGTTTGGGAGAAGGGACATTAGTAAAGCCCTAACTTGAGAGGCTGATGGCATGAGGCGCCAGATCCATCTCAGGGGGGCTCAGGTGGGATCAGGGTAGGCCCAGCTGCATAATTTGAAAAATGAAAAGGAGAGCCCACGTGTACAACACTATTAAGAATTGCAAGTTGATGACAGAAGAGTGTTAAACCACCTGGGTCCCGTTTGAGGGTGGCCTCTGGGCAGCTGTGCAGGTCGCACGCCCAGGAGGCCAGCCCTAGGTCAGTGTGAATGGGAGGGTGAAGATGAGGTGCACAGAGGTGAGAAGTAAGGCCGGTAAGCCATAAATCTGTTCTATTTCGGCTTTGAGATTCTTTACCTTCCAAAGTTCATTTGGCTTAAGCTACTGGTAAGTGAGTCACTCCTGTGACCACAGCTGGGTGAGGCAGTGAGGTGACCCAGAACAGCTGTAGCGTGTCTGTGGTCATGGACGGAGCTCCTCACTGTGGGCCAGGCTGCACCAGTGCTGCACACTACAGCTCACAGGCTCTAGAGGGATGCCTAGACATCTAGGGTTCTAACCTCACGGGCTGTGAATCCGCGGGCAGGTCACTTAACCCTGTTCTGTGCCTCTGCCTCCTCATCTGTAAAGCAAAGTTCTAAGAGTTACCTGCATTATAGGGTGGTGGCGAGATGAATTGAGTTCTTTACCCTGGGCCGCGCGCACAGTTAACATTTGCAACCATCACAAAGATGCTGCTGATGGGGAAGTGACCACCCTATAGTTAATCAGTAGATTCTGAAAGAAAGTGAGCCGAGATGCCGGGTACCGTTCAAGCTTAAATCTGCTGGGCTGTGCTCAGAGTGGCACAGGGCCCGTGGCTGCCCTGAAAATGGTGGACAGCCCCAACAATGGATTTGTGAGAGTTTGTATTAGCTTTTGGGCGCGAAAGGTACGAGGAAGGGACCATTAGGTTGATGTAACTGGGTGGAGAACTGCACCGATGCTGAAGCCAGAAAGTTGTTTCCAAGTCAGGAGGCTTCTCGTAAAGGGAAGGGGGAGGGGAGGAGGTGGGCAGCACCACTTTGTACTTGGGCTTGTCTAAAGTGGCTCTGGTTATGTTGCAGATCTATTAGATTCCAAGTTAGGGGAGGACACTGTGGTGGAGATTAGGGTGATTGCCTAAGGTGACCCCACAAGTGAAGACGCTGCGCTCTTTCCCCTTCCATGGCGCCTCTTGGGGAAGCTTTCTGGTTTGGCGTCAATTCCTCAGCTGTCCTGAACCCACGTTGCTGATTCAAAGGCCACCCGTCATTCGCACACACTTGCTGAGTCTCAGCTGTGTGCTGGGCCCTCTTTGGGGAACTGAAGGCTCTAAAGAGAGAGACTGAAGGGAAGGTACAGAGGGCACAGTGACTAGGGAGGGGGCAGGAGCACGGGAGGAAGGGACTTGGGAAGGTCCTGTGAGGGGCGAGCGCTAGCCCAGGCTTTGGGGAAGAACAGAAGACAGGGATGGAGGGGCTTCTCAGCCCTGCTGTGTGCCACGTGGAACGCCGTAAACTAGATCAGTTTCCTTGCACCTCAGCCTCACAGGCAACTGGTGTCAAGAGGCAGGTGGTACCCCAAAAGTACAGTGAGTGACTGAGAAGAGAGGGGCCCACAGAAGCCCCTAAGGAGCCACAGACTCTTTCCTTCCAGTGGAGGGAAGGCAGGTGTGAGGGCTGCACGTTTGCCTGTGGAAGTGCGGGGGCCTCTGCTGGCCCTCACCTTTGACCTCAGTTAGCACTCACTTGCCAAGGGTGACATCCCACCTTCCTTCCCTGCCAGCCTCCCCCACTCACCCCTGCTCTCCTGTTCTTATCTCCTCAGGGTCAGTGGACTTTCGCCCTTCATGGGTGACAACGATAATGAAACCTTAGCCAACGTTACCTCAGCTACCTGGGACTTCGACGATGAGGCATTCGATGAGATCTCCAATGATGCCAAAGATTTTATCAGCAATTTGCTCAAGAAAGATATGAAGTAATGAGTTGAGATTTCAGTCTTTCAGCTTCCCCACTCCCTGCACTGGTGACAGGAGGCAGGGATCTCCTTGCCTGTTGGGACTCCCTCCTCACCACTCCCGGATCTGGGCCACTCTGGTGTTCCTGAGGAGGGCAGGGTGGGCGTTGTGAGGAACCCAGCCCGACAGTGTGTGGGGACGGAGGGGTCTTCCTGGGCCCCTGCCCCCTGCAGCTGGACACTGTATTCATCTTCAGAAACACAGAAACATCACTGAAACGTGACACTTGACCAAATGTCACAGTGAGAGGGCAGCTTGTTCTGCATGAATGATGACCCTTTTATTTTCTGGGTACAGTTGTGGGCTGTCAAAGCCCTGCTGAATCCTCAGCCCCTCCTCAGAGCTTGCAGGGCAAGTATCCTCTCCACAAGCAAGAGCAGGTGACAGAGGCATCCTTAGAACCTATCTGTGGGTCCTGTTCATATCCCCAGATTATTCTGACTAGGTGTTTTTCCATCTCTAAATTGCTTAAGAACTGCCTGCCTGAGTATGTCCAGGTACCTTCTAACACTGGCTAAAGCGAAGCTGTGATCCCAGACCACTGGGCTTAGCCTTCTCCCTGCTTCATCTCTGTCCTCGCACCCCTTCCCCAAACCCCTCAGACAGTGCAGACTGTGAGGTTCCCCACAGCTGCCTTAAGGGGCTGCCTGCAGCTGCCCATGTGGTGGGTGGATGAGCATGCGTGATAGCAGAGCAGCGGGAGGGCGTGTGCAGGCCTGCGCTGTGAGGAGAGGGCACGCCCTCCTGCGGGACTTCAGCAGTAATGTGAAGTTGGAGTGGCAGAGGAGACTAGAGTGGAGGAGGGGAGATGGGAGGGGGGCCATGGGTGTGCCAAGGCAGAATTTGTGGGTGAGGACTGTCCTGTTGGGGGAGGAATCAGCTAAATTGGAGCAAGAAGGCGAGAAGAGCCATGCATGTGTAGGGAGAGCTGCCCGAGGGAGGGAGCAGTGGGGGTGTCAGGTGGTAGCAGCTGGCCTGTCGGGCACCGCAGTACCCGTAAATAGGTGGCCAGATGAGACAGGGCCTGGCTCTAGAGCCCTGAGGAGCTTGGTCACATTTGGCACTAGGGAGCAGTTGCAGCCATGCCTGAGAAGAGTGGTGTTGAAATAGGTAATAGGTGGGGTGCTGGAGGCTGAGAAGGGCGGGAGCCTCTGTGTTAGCCAGGTGACAGGAGCCTTGGGTCTGGCTGTCTGCCTGGCCCACAGATCCCCCTGAGGCTGCAGCTTGCATCCCTCTGGGGAAAATGCTTTTGGGGACAGGAGAGCACAGTTGCTGAAGAAACAATGTTGGAGAGTCTCTCAGATGCTCTGACTGGTTTTCCTGTTACCCACCCATCTCTCAGTCCTTTTTAGCCATCTCAGGGCCAAACTCCGCCACAAAAGGCTACATTCCATACTCCTTCACAGTGAGGTCTTTTAGCCTTTTGCTGTCACGGTCTTTTTATCAGAAGTAGCGTGACCCAAGGAGAATTCGGATGTTGTGGGGGATCTGGGTTCCCTTCCAGTGTGAGGGATCCCCACACCCAAGGTGCCTCAGGAGATCCTCAGGAGATGGAAACCCCTCTCCTAAGAACTCTGGTCCAAGGATGGCTTTGTCAGCCACACATTGTACGAGTGTTGTGTATACACCTTATTTTCTTATCTGATCTTGAATTAATTCAGTAACAGGCTGTGGTGGGCCCCTCTGTGCTCATAAAATGAGCTCACCAAAGAACTCATCTTATCCAAATAGATAAGACACTAGATTCCCCAAAACTCTTATACCCAGCATCTCTTCCATCAGAAATCTCCGTCTATTAACACTTTTAAAAATATTTTTCTGTTATAAAAGTAATAAATGTAAATTGTGGAAAACTTGAAGAATATAAGAAAACTTAAATCATCCATAATCCTTTTATCTAAAGATCACTACATTTTGCTATACTTCTTTCCAGTCATTTTTCTATGCATGTTAGCATTTGGTTCTTTGGGCTTTATTAGTCCTGTTACAATTAAGGTGATGGCCTTGAAATATTTCTGGATTCCCAAAGCTTTCAGGAAGATTAAATGAGTCTCAGTGGAGTACTAAGGTTCTTATAATTCAAAGGTTATATGTAGGACATACCTCTTTGAGTAAGTAACAGGAAAAATCTGATACTTGGCCACATCCTAAGACGTGTGAGTTTAGTGACTCTCAGAGGTTTTCTCCTAGTGTTTCACTCTCCCCTCCTCCAGATGGAGGTAAATGGATTAGGCCTCCGAGGCCCCCAGTCCCCATGTGACCAGCAGAAAGAACCCACCCTGGAATACAGTGCCAACCGTCCCCAGACATGTCTGCCCTGCAGCACTTACCCTTCCTAGACCCCAAGAGCAGGTCATGTGGCTCCAGTTGCTTTCTTGGTGGGTAGGCCTTCTTAATGCTGACCTATGCTGGGTCTAATCTATGTAACCCAGACCAAGAGACGAAAACGGTGAAGAGCACAGTGACCCTGACCGTGGTGGATGGACTGGGAGTGGGGGCTCTGGGCTCTGCCCTGTGTGACCAGGGACAGGTAACCTCCCATTTCTGATTGGACCAGTGGTCTCTCAGGTCCCCTCCTGCTCAGAAATCCTCTGACCTCTGCCCCCCCTCAGAAACCGGCTGGACTGCACCCAGTGCCTTCAGCATCCATGGCTAATGAAAGACACCAAGAACATGGAGGCCAAGAAGCTCTCTAAGGACCGAATGAAAAAGTACATGGCAAGAAGGAAATGGCAGGTAACCGGGCCTCGCTTTGGACTGGGTGTCACCCCTCATATTTGCATTATTCAGGCCACTCTCATGCCCAGCTTGCCTTGGGCTCCGTCCACGAAAGTTTAAATTTGTTTCTGAAGTAGTCTGGGGCCAATTTAGGCAGCCGATTAAGATACAGTGCTGTGCCCGGTCCTGAGCAGAGTCCTTGCTCTGGGGAAACCGGTCTCTTAACTACAGCCGTCTCTCTGATCCTGCCCAGCTTTGCCCCAGCCTGGCCCTTCCTCAGGTGGAGCCGGTGCCATTTCATGTCTTCATGGCTAGGGCTGAGCAACACCACCTTGAGGTCTATTTGGCGGCCCTGGAGAGTGTAACCTCCTTAAAGGCAGCGTGATGGTCTTACGTTTCTCTACCTTGAAGCAGGAGGGCACATGATCTAAAGGGGGAGACAGTCCCCACCCTCTAGGGAGGTTGTATGTTAATAGCTATGTGTCCTTAGGCAAGTGACTTAAACTTGCTGTGGGTTCCTTTTCTCATCTGTAAAGTGGAGATAATAGTGGCACCAACTTAACAGCATTACCCTGAGAAATAAATGAGATAATCTTCATATGGCCTTTAGTACAATGCCTGGCACATAGTGTTCAAAAGATACCAAGGGCTAATGTGGTTGGGGGCTGCCTGCGTGTCAGAGACCATGCAGAGCATTTTCTATGCATTAAGTCTTTTAATCCTAGGAGGCAGGGCTATTATTATGCCCACCTTACAGACAAACGGAAGCAGAGAAAAGGTTAGGAATGTTACCCAGGATCACACAGCTAATGAGTGGAAAAAACAGTGATCAGACTCAGAACCTGGCTCCAAAACACATGGTCTTAACAATAACACAAAACTGCCTCTGATAATAAGGCGGATAAAATTATCATCCAAAACCATAAAGTACTTATCACCACCATCATCTATCTTATTATTTCCATTATTACAATTAGTAGTATAAAATTCCCGGGCCACTGGAGAGGACATGTTTTCTATACTCAGGGAATGTACAGTGTCATGGGGGACTGAAGCAAATAGACATAAAAGGACATAACACACGCAAGGAATTGTAAACTATCAGTATAGCTCTCCATGACCATATATGTGAGTGTGGACAGGAGAGGGGGTCCGTGCAGCCGGAGCTGGACGTGGTTAGGAGGAAATGCTCCCGGGGCAGGAGTTTGAAGTTAGGTGTGGAGCATGAGCTAGAACATAAAGAGGGGGTGACAGCACAGGTGGAGGGAAAGGCACAGAGGAGGGGACTGGCTGGACAGGAGCAGAGTCATCCACCTGGAGACTCAGGGGCCCTGGGAAAATTGAAACCTTGCCTGTGTGGCAGAGAAAAAAAGGAAATCACTGTTTTGGGGGCAAGTGGGACACTGGTAATTTGCCACACAGGGTGACTAAACCATAGTTCTCTCTAAAAGTACAACTTCACACAGGTTAAGAGAGGGAGCAGAGGTGAGCGAGGGCTGACTACGGGCGTGGGGTTAAAGGGACCACCACCCGAGCACATCTCAGCCTGAGCTCCTCCGTGGTAGAAGTCAATTCTTGGTTAGGCCCCCCATGTGAAGATTTAGGTGGGTCTCCTGGCCTCCCTCAAGTACAAAGTGGGTTGCAACACCTGTGCCGCTTACCTTCTGGTGCCATTAGGAATCAGAGCAGCAAATATTCTTTTTAAAAAAAATCAAAAAGGAGCTCACAAAATCAAAGGTTGACTTTATTTTTTATTTTTTTTGTCTTTTTTCGTGACCGGCAATGGATCGCAACCCTCAGTGTCGCGCCCGTACCGGACCGGGACGGGCTACAGGATCGCAACCCTTGGTGTTGCGCCCACACCTCGCTCAGCCAGTGAGCGGCCGGTCTGTATGTGGGATCCGAACCCTCGGCGGGAGCGCTGCCGCGCTCCCAAGCGGCGCACTGTAGCAGTGCGCCACCGGGCCGGCTCCCAAAGGTTGGCTTTATTAATGGTCCTGTGGCCAGCAAATCTCAAAGTAATATTTCTGGAAAAATAGGGTGGCCCCGGGTTTTGGGGCAGTCGTCAGAGCAGCGAGTCTAACTGGATTTTGCTCAGATGAGGCTGTGAGTTAAGGAGCTACCTTATCACCTCAGAACATCTGCAGGTGGACCAAAGCCAGCAGGACACCTGCACCTAGGGGACAGGCGCAGAGAAGAGGAAATGGGAGAAGTGGTGATAAAATTTCCAGTCAGATCAGTCAGGGGACCATAATTTGTGCTGATACTTTGATCATTTAAATTTTTTTTTTTTCCTTTTTGTCTTTTTTCGTGACTGGCAACGGATCGCAACCCTCAGTGTCGCGCCCGTACCGGACCGGGACCCACCGCGCTTCCCAAGCGGCGCACTATAGCAGTGTGCCACCGGGCCGGCCCCTGATCATTTAAATTTTTTTTTTTTCCTTTTTGTCTTTTTTCGTGACCGGCAATGGATCCCACCGCGCTTCCCAAGCGGCGCACTATAGCAGTGTGCCACCGGGCCGGCCCCTGATCATTTAAATTTTTTTCTTGTTCTTTACAGTGTTATTAGCCTAAGGTTGTCATAGAACCTTAAGGTTCTGGAAGTGGGGGCAGAGGGAGAAATGGGTGGAATTCAAAGAGGGAACATCAATTTCATATTTTAATATGGTAGCAGCATTTGGAAATGATTTTTCCACAAAATCAGTGATCCAGTTTCACAAAATTGCGCACAAACGTAGTCCAGAAAATCCCATTCAACACGTAATGTTCCTGAAGCATAATTTCAGCTGTATCTGGTCATCTTGTGTTACACTGCTTCCTTAGGAAAATGTTTTCCACATTTTAACTCCAGTCACACCCCTGAAATAGGGGGTTCCTTGTTGGAGCAGCCAGGTTCCGTGTGGTAGGGCAGGCAGAGTGGAGTGGAGTACAGTGGGCAGGGCAGGCTCAGGCGGCCCAGAACTCTCTACAGCTGCGCAAGAGACAGTGCCTTGGTATTGCTCTGGTGTAGTTTCATAAGGCTCTAGGAGGAAGTAACATGGGAACAAATCCCCATAAGCAAGGCTAGGCTAGGTATAGATGACTGATTGTATTATTGATCTTAGGATGAACTTGTTCTGAAAGAAGTATATTTTAAATTTATATTAGAAGAATTTTGCAAAGACATGTTGGTGAGGAGTAGCAATAGGGGTGGGTAAATTGAGTAGGATAACGGCTTCTGCATGCAAACTAGGATCGAAGGACTAGGAATTAGAGGCCCACAGGCACCCGTCTTCATTTTCTGGGAGCCACAGAGACACCAGCAGTATGGACCACAGGGCACCAGTGAAGAAAGCATTAGACTCAGTACAGCTCAGAGTATTACCGGCCGTCTCATTTGGATATTATGCACTTCTCAGAGGAAACTGTAGTCTTGAGGCTGTTGGATTTATGTGGGGCCTTGAAGGCTTGCTGGTTCTATGGTGACCACCTTGCCTTGGCTTGCCAGGGACTGTCTCGGTCTTAGCACTAAAAGAACCTAACTCTGGGAAACTCTGCATTCCTGGGCTATTAGGGAAGGTTGGTCAGCCTAACTGGCTCTCCAAGGGACGGGGAGTCTCCGTTGCAAGAAGGAGGCTGGTACAGATACTGCCCACTAGGAACAAGGGAACCCAGCCTTGGCAGTTGCCCCCCAACAAGAAAAAGTGTTTCTCAAAACAAGGATGGAAATTAGAGGATTGATATTTTGCTGTTTGGTTGTTCCAAAAATTTGATGTTGCAAAGGTCTTAGTCAGTAAAGCAGCAACCAATTTTCAGCTCGAAGACATGCAACTGGAAGACTAGAACATACAGATATACTTCTTTCCTGGCAAGTAACTCCCTTGCCAATTTCCCCCCCCCCAAACCAGCTTCCAAAGATTGAATTCTGATGTAGATTATTTTAAAATTTTTCCTTATTAAGTACTTCTTACAATTTTTAATTTTACTTATTTATTTTACTTCTTATATTTTATATGCTGAATATCTCCATCTGCTAGAAAACTTCCCCCTATGTGAGGCCTGTTTAACGTATTTGCTCCCTCCTCTGAAATATTATAACTCTTGTTTGCCTCATTCTGATAACTTCATATTAGTCATTTTGTTACAAAATAAAATCAAGAAGAGAAAAGATAAACTCTCCTGGTACCACATAAGTGAAGATAGTCCTCATCAGTCCCAATCCAGATGTCTGGAATTAGGGAGGCCATGGGCTCGAGGGGGGTGCTGCCTGCTACCCATTCATGTGTAGGAGTCATAGCCTTTCTGTTGAAGACTAGAGCTGTGGGGATTAGAAGCTTTTAGTCCAGGAACACTGAGGTTCAGAGAGGGAACTGACTTGCACAAGGTCACACAGCAACCAGTGGTTAGAGAACTAAACTATTTCTTGTTGGGAATGAACCCTCTGAGTTTAGAGACTGCTGGCCCAGGGCAAACCAATCTGTGTTGGATGAAGGGAATAGACAGCTGGGAAGGGTGGAGTCTGAGTGTCTGGCAGATTTGGAAGTAGGCTGGTCTGAGGTTGACTTTGTAGGGAGGGTTGCCATGGCTCGTAGCACCTCTTACATGTTCCTGAGGGCAAGGTAAGCTCCCACGGAAAGAGCGGGGTCTCTCCACACCAGCTAGCACAACAAACAGATCCACGCTGCCACTAGTAAAAGCTTCTCCCAGAAGAGTAAGAAAGGTGGCCAAGTGGTCTCAGTCTGCAGGGGCACTCTCTCTGCAGGGCCACAGTGTTTCTGCACACTAAGTTGGTCGGTTGTCCTCTCTTGCCATCTTCCCCTCCTCCTCACCTCCTCCTGGGTATCCTGGCTTCTGTTCAGAGTGACCCAGCTTCACCATGGCAGCAGAGGGCCAGAAGCAAACCCGGACCAAGCAGTGATGTGTGCGAGAGGGCAGTGGCCAGAGGACAGAGCGAAAAGGAATGTCTGTCCAGAATGCACAAAAATAATCTTCAAAAAGGAGGGCGGGGGGCATAACAGAAAAGTGGTCGTGGCTGTAGCATTTGGTCTCTGCTTAAACCACACATGCATATGCACACATGTAATTTTCTGTGTGATTCCTTAGCATCTTGAAGTTCTTTCAAAACAATCTTTTTTTTTTTTTTTTTCCAGCAGCTGGCCAGTATGGGGATCTGAACCCTTAACCTTGGTGTTATGGTGTTATAAAGTTGCACTCTAACCTACAGAGCTAACCAGCCAGCCCACAATCAATCTTTTTAATGAAGCATACTGGTTTTCCAGATAGTTCAAAATTGTGAGGTTTTATGGAATACTTGAGTGTGTAAAGATAATTCAGGAGGAAAATGGCTTTGCTGGCATAGTTTGAGGCCCAATGAATGAGTGGAAATCATTTGCCTATGAAGAGGCTATTTCCTTCCTCTCTCAGAAGGGGATGAGCACCCAGTCTGTGATGATATCTTCTTTCTAGATGCACAGCATCTGGATGCCTTAAAAAGATGATTTGGGTGCGGGAGTGGAAAGACATGGTTATGCCTTAGTTTTCTAAATTATTCCCATTGACCTTAGAAAAAGGGTGAGAGACTTTATTGAATGATAAGAAACAGACACAACTGTCCTTATTGGGGGTTTCTTGACCTAGATCCTATGCTTGGTAGAATTTTCACAATGCAAAGAAATTCATCTCAAGTTCTGATCCTTTTCAGCAGAAATTCTGGCCTCTCCCAAGGTGCCTTGTCTCAGAAAAACAAAGTGCTTTTTGCTTCTTCAGTGCTGCTTTTTGATGCCTGAGTGTACTCCAGGGAAGAACACCCCTCCAGAACTTCACTGCACGGTCATAGACTTGTGCTGGGGCCAGCCATGGTGTTTCTCAAAATCTCTTAAGTATCTGAATCATAAACAGAACTAAAAGGGACCTTGGAGACCATCTTATTCAACCCCCTCCTTATACAGAGAAGAAAACTGAAGCCCAGAGAGGTTAAGTGACTTGCCCAAAGTCAATAGAATGAATGCATTTTTTTTTATTTTTTATTTTTTTAGCATTAGGATGTGTGGAACCTGTAGTTAACGATTCTCTTGTCCAATTAAAATTATATCACTAGCATTGTTTTATGAAAAACAGCCCCACTGGGCCCGGCCTGCAATAAGTCTTTGGAGCTGTCTCAGCCTGCAGTTGCTTTATATAAACTATCCCTTTTATGGGAGTTGAAGCACAGTATGAAAAGGGTTTTTGTCTCATGTTGACCTTGTTTAGTCACATTAACGCGCACATCAGTTCCAGGCCCATTCCATTCTCTGAACATCTTCTGCCACGCTGATAGTGCTGAGCAGAGCAAGGTTGGGCTCGCTCCTCTAGCAGAAGCTCGGCACTTGGGAGGCCCTCATTCCAGGGAACAGCCACTTCTCCTGGACTGGGCTCTTCTCTCCGGAGCCCCTAGCACTGCCCAGCTGGAACCAGGGACACCGCCTGAGCCCAACCCCAGTGTCTCTTTTCCAGAAAACAGGCAATGCTGTGAGAGCTATTGGAAGACTGTCCTCTATGGCAATGATCTCAGGGCTCAGTGGCAGGAAATCCTCAACAGGGTCACCAACCAGCCCGCTCAATGCAGAAAAACTAGAATCTGAAGGTAAGCAGCTCAAGAGGATTTTCTCCAGCCAATTGGTGAGAAAGAAAGGGTTGGGGGATGGAGAGGCATTTTGAGGTTTTTGTTTTGTTTTGTTTTTTTAGTACACCTTACAAGGATAAATTCAGAAGTACTTTTGGGTTGCCCTGACAACAGTTACTAAGTCTAGTAATTATTTTTCAATTGTTAACCTTAGGCTTAACTATTTTCAGAGGGAAGGTTATTGTCTAGTAGAACTAGTTAACCTCAGCTATTATTTTCTCTATATTTTGTATAAGAATTAGCAAAGGCTTTATTAAAAGCTTCCCTTAGTGATACTTGTATATTGATAGCCAAAAATAAAATAAAAACCACATTTAGTTGTGCAACATTTTTAAATATCCTTCCATTTTCTGCTGTTTTTGCATTTTTGTTTTAACATTGTTCATGCTGCTGAAACATGTCATTTGAACTGGGCAGACCCACGTTGGTAGGGTCCTCCTGGAGATCAGCAGCGTTAGTTACTTGCCTACCATCTTTGAGACACTGCCCATCATCTCCTCAGTGAGGGCCTCAGCCTCTTCCTGCTTCATGTGCACACAGGGCCTGGCCCGTATCTTCTTGAGGTCCTCCTTTGGACAGACACCCCTCCACTCCCCACTGCCTGGTGCTTTGGTATCCACAGGTGAGAAGCCGAGTCCAGATCCCTTTTGTGCACCAAGGCAGGATAATTGGCAAGGCCAGTTACTGGCTGCTCTGGAGCTTCCTCACAGCTGGGGACAGAGTCAGCAATACATGGGCTTGGCCCTGGCCCCTCCTGAGCCACTTCTCCCACTCCTCAAATGACCCAGAAATAGCCTGAAGGGGAGGGAGAGCATACAGGATCCCTTCCAAATTGCGGCTTATCCCTGGACCAATCCCATATTCTGGTCACAGTGGTACAACATGAAGGCAGTGTAAGTGTGGAGAACAGAACGACTGGCAAGTTCAAGATGCCTCTAGGACCTGGCTGCTCCCTTCTAAGGAGCAGGTGAAGGACCTGCTGCAGGAGGAGGACAAAGGGGGTACCGAGATCAGGAAGGCTGGTGAGCTTCTGTCCTCAGACACCTGTGTCTGAATCCTGAAACAGCATGAAATGCAGCCAAAAATCCTTTTTACAGATGATTCCCTTTTTCAATGTGTCAGCATAAGAGAGGGAGGAGGCTGAACATTTCCCCAGTTTGGACACAGTTCTCTCTTCTGCCAGAAACCATTTGGCAGCAGGCCACCCTGTCCCTAGGAGAAAGGCATGCTCATGATTCAGTTCTCCGAGCTGCATTGTTTGCTCCACTATAGCAACTAATTTTTAAGAAGCCAGGTTTTTTTTTAAACTAGGGGAGAGGAGAGAACAAGGCGTGAGGAAAATGACCTGATCCTCTCCCCTGTCTTCTAGAAGATGTCTCCCAAGCTTTCCTTGAGGCTGTTGCTGAGGAAAAGCCCCATGTAAAACCCTATTTCTCTAAGACCATTCGTGATTTAGAAGTTGTGGAGGGAAGTGCTGCTAGATTTGACTGCAAGATTGAAGGTAAGTTGTGCCCTTCACTGACTTGATATTTCACCTACTTACAACAGCCACCAGTTGTTGCTTACAACAGCCGTAAGTTTAAAATGGTTTATCACTCCAAAGTCAAGGGTGTGGATACTTGTACAAGCCAGCCACCAGGGGAAAAAAAAAAAGGTTTACCATGGACCTACCTGGCTGGGGAATATGCTTAATGAAATGAGTTTTGCAAGCTGCTGAGAGGCATGTGAGTTGCCCACAAGAGGCTCTCAAAGGAAAGTTGGCACAAAGGTTATAGATTGTGGAGTTGCCGGCTCTGCTACTCATCAGCAGGCTGTGTGATCTTGATTTAACTCTACTGGATTCAGGCCCCTCATCTGCAAGATGATATCTAACACAGAGTGGCTCTGGGGATTCTGTGAGGTGACAGAGGTGCAAAGGGGGAACCTTAAGCCTTTGAAAGATGCCATGGAGTAAAAGGAAAGGAGGGTTTGGTGAATTCAGAAAGCATGCAATGTGACTTCACACTGAGGACGTTGGGACCCAGGCACCTGGGGCAAACCATTCAGTTTTTGTCATGCTCCCCATGCTGCTTCTCTGCCTGCCAGAAAGAAAGCAGCCATCAAATATTGAGTGATTAGAACTCAGGGAACCTAAAGAGATCTTAGCATGGCACCTGGGAAATGAGCAAAGTTGATGACATAAAAAGTCTTTCCACAGATTGCAATATTCTAGAAAGGTAAGGGGCAAGATAAGACAGGCCTCTCTGCTTGAGTCTGTGACTTTCATGTGCCAACCAGCCTGGGGGTTATCTCCCATTTTGGTCTGAACAAATAAAGTACAGAAATTTATTACGCAACTTTACCAAGGCCATACAGCACAGTACAGTAGTCAGAGCAAACCATGCCTCCCACTTTGTGCAATTCTCCTGCAATGTGACTATATAATGCCTGCTGAGTAAAATAACCCCAAGTTAGGAATGACAGAATAATTTTTTCCCTGCATCTTTATATTATCAAAATACCTTGTAAATGCTTGGCTACCGTAATCTTTCTTTTTCCATTCAACTAAAAATAAAGTCGATGAGCTGCCTTTGATCACAGAAGTTCTCAGATTGGGGATTTGCTGAAGCTCTGGTGCTCCTGCTCCTGATTTTCACCATCACCATTGTCTTTGGGTCTTCTGAAAGTCCTTCCTTTTTTCTTTTTTAATATTTTAAAAATTATTATAGCATAGTGGGTATCATCTCTGTACTTACTTTTCGGGGTTATTTTCTTGGTATTTGTGAAACTTCTGACTGGCATTCTAATGAGAAATTAAAGCATATGAATGCTATTTTGATAAAAACATAATTCTCCTTGAAAAAAACGTTAGAATTCTTAAGTTCTTAAGTATGATTTTTATTCTGGTTGGGGCTACAATTTTTTGTTTGTTTTTGTTTTGTAAAAATACTTCTCCAAAACTTAAGAGCAAGTTACTTGGAATGTATTATATATTTTTAAAGATATATATATACCTATATACACACACAACTACATGTATACACATACCTCTAAGTATATATGTGAATGTATCCATGTGTATTTTACATCTTTTTACTGTTGAGCTCTGCAGACACATGACTAATGCAGAAAGTGAGGCTAATCAATGAGGTCCATTTCCAGTTATCTGCATACACGTTACCTGCTTTGGATCATGCTAAGACAGATATTGCTTTCTTTTTCTTAGTACTATTATCAGCTCCTCAAACTTGTGTTTTATATAACTCAGCTTTATTGAGTTATAATTTATATACCATAAAATTCACCCATTTTCAAGTGTACAATTCAGTTATTTTTAGTAAACTTAGAGTCATGCATCCACCACTACAATACTGTAGAACATTTTCATGACCTCAAGAACCCCTGTGCCCATTTGTCCTCTTATTTTTAATTTGAATTTATTTAAGGTAAACTTTTACACAAGATAAAAAGTTTTATTTTCATCCAAGAAGACACTTAGCTCTAGGTGTGTATTTGGGTTTGGGGCAGTAGTTTAGGTAGCTGCCCAAAGGTGGGGTGTTTAAGTCCAGCATAGGTGGGAAATGGGACAACTTTAAAATACTGTATTTGGGGTTTTCAGATTACAGTATTTAGAGCACATATCCATGTTCTAATGTAGATATCAAAACAATTGCTGAAGGCCAACATCACAATTTTTTTTCCTTGACCTCGTTAATCAATAGAGATAGCTTAGGAGCTGCTTGCATGAACTGATAAGAAATTTTGAGTAACGGTTTCTACAACTTGTGTTCTCTTCCTGTGACGCAGGATACCCAGACCCTGAGGTCGTCTGGTTCAAAGATGACCAGTCAATCAGGGAGTCCCGCCACTTCCAGATAGACTACGATGAGGATGGGAACTGCTCTTTAATTATCAGCGATGTTTGCGGGGATGACGATGCCAAGTACACCTGCAAGGCTGTCAACAGTCTTGGAGAAGCCACCTGTACAGCAGAGCTCATTGTGGAAACCATGGAGGAAGGGGAAGGGGACGGGGAAGAGGAAGAAGAGGAAGAGTGAGACAAAGCCAGAGAGAAGCAGTTTCCAAGTCATATTAAAAGGACTATTTCTCTAAAGCTCAAGAAACTCAAAATAGTAAAAGCATCTAGTGTGGTAGATTATCTAGTTAGGTCATTTAGGGGTTGATTCTTCAGAACAGCAGTTGATACCTAGCAGCATTATTGATGGGCATTAATTTGAATTAGCTGGCACCTTAAGATACTAGTGCAGCTAGATTTCATTTAGGGAAATCATCAGTAACTTGCCTGACCAATTGATTTTACAGAGAAAGTAACCAAAATAAATATTTATCTGGACAAAGTCATAAATTCCCACTGAACACACTTGTGAAAAATAAGGCCAAAACAAGGGCTCTGAGCCCTGCAGCCAGAGCTCAGCCCCGAGGGTTCCCGGAGAAGGCAGGCCTGTCTCCCCAGCCCGACTCCAGAGAACTGGGTCTCTCCAGTACCACAGCACTTCATCCTGAAAGCAGTTGAGCCATCCTAACTTATGAGGCACATTTTATTCCAAAGTATGCTGCAGACCCTTCAACTTCCTGTTTCTCTCCCCCATTCTACCTGCCAGTTTTTTGGATCTGAACCCGTCATGAGTTTAAGCACTAAGGACATTATCCTTCTTAGATTCTGAAGACAGGTCCCCCACTCCTGGATGACTCTGGTTTCTTTAGGTAAATAAAATCTACTTTCTTCCAAAATCAGTAGGAAATCTAAACTTATCCCCTCTTTGCATATATCTAGCAGCTTCAGACATTTGGATAAGAACCCGTGGGGGAAAAAAAATCTTTGCTAATGTGCTTTTCTTCTTAAACCAGGATTCATATTTGTGCTGTTATAGACTATCAGCTCTGCATGTGTGGGAAGGGTTTTTGTGTTTGAACGTAGGAAAAACCAGTTGGCTGAAACGTTAGTCTTAATTATTTATTAGCCACTACGAAAGAGATTTCAACTGGTGAAGAGCTGTAGAACTCCACGTACTTTGGAATCTCCTTCAAGATAGTCTGAGTTTAATACATCTTCATTCTCAACACTCTGCAAAGAACTCGACCTACCTTGTGGGTTCTACGACATTTTTCTTCTTCAGTGTGCATCAATCATGCCTTGCCCCAGCCTTGAAATATACTCTTAGACCTGATAAATGCACTCAGACTTGCATCTTTAGGAACTGTTAACTTTCTTTCACTACATTGGCACTTAAATTTTTTTCTTTATAAAGTTTTTTAAAGGTCATAAGCAAAGACCATAAACTGATATACCTAATACATTTTCTCTGTGTGTGTGTAACATTCCAAATACTTTTTTTTCTTCTCCACTGTTTGTAAAGTGCAGCAATTTAACATTTCGAGGGACTTTTTAATAGTTCCTTAAGAACCAATTTCAAATTACTTCAGTGCAATCCTACACAGTATCAACATTAGAATTTTGATATTACGTAGCCTTATGTTACCTTCCATTCTATTTTTATCTGCTTTTTGCTGCTAGTTTCAAATTGCCAGTATTTTTCCTTTTTGCTTTTTAAACAGTTACAATATTTTTCATAATAGCCACAGTATTGCCACAGTTTATTATAATAAAACGTTTTTAATTTGATTTAGAGCATTCAAAGCTTTTTTCCCATCACTTTTGTGTTTAGACCATAATTTTTGTGTACATGTATGGTGTGTGTGTGTGCATGTGTGGTGTATGTGTTTACAGGTTAATATCTTCTTGAAATTGTGTTAATGTTCTCTCATTTTATTATGCTGTCATAATGGTAAATGAGAACACTACAACTGTAGTTAGCTCACAATTTTTAAATAAAGGATACCACAGTGCATGCCGTTGGTTCAGTCTTTGCAGACTTCTCTTTCTTTTCATGCCACCAGTTGTACAGTATACAGAGACATCACAGAAACTAAAAACAAACACTGTGCTGTGTAAATGTGAAGAACTGGCTTATGTGGTTGTGTTTTACTAAGGAACAGAATGACTTAGGTACTGCTTGTTTATACAGGTAGCCTCATTTACACCTTTAGTTCAGAATTTCTCTTGAGGATCGTTTGGTACTATTACATTCTCAAAGGATATCTTATATAGTATCAGGTCCTCATAATGCTAAAATATATGACATTTTTAACGTGACAAAATCAATATTCTTTACCAGGGCTTGGTTTAAACTGGTGACTTCAGTGCAATTCGTTATTGGCAGCCAAGTGCTTTTTCCATGTATCGATATTTGTTTCATCCCACAAAACCTGTGGCTGTTATACCCCAAAAGCAGCAGCAAGGGAGTTCTCACAAGTGTCCCAAAACTGTCCTGAGATGGGGCTGGTTGGGATTCCAAAGAAAGAAGTACTAAATGCCAGGGTGATGAGTCCAAGGCATTCTTTAGGGGAACTCACTCAGAGTGCTGCAGTGAATCCTCAAGAGGCACTGGCAGAGAAAGAAATGTTCTGCCTACGTATGTCCACAGCAAGGGGCCCAGGGTAAGGAGTTCATATGAGGGTTTAAGGAATTTGGCTCAGGACTGGCACCAATTTCTTTCAGTATTATGAGCAACAAACTGGATACCTTTATCAGGGCCTGGGAATGTTCAAGGCCCTGGTTTTGTTTCAAGCCTGCTGGGAGGAACCTGCAGCTGGCTGGTCACAGAGGGATTGAGGCATTTTGTGATATTCAGTTGTTAGGACACAGAGATCGGGGGGAACTGGAGGAACCCTACAATATTGAAGCATTTGTTATCAGGAAACTTGCACCAGCTTCATAGGAAGTCTGTCACCAGATATCAGAGGGTTAGTCCTTCATGTCTTGAGATGTTCAAACAATACTGTAGATATTCTAGAAAGAATTCAAAACATGCTGTCCTACAGTGTAATCTGGAAAGAAATAATCCATTGTCCAGTTAATATTTAAATTTTGTCATTTTTTAAGGCAACCACAATCCACAAATGTTCCTAAGACGAACTTTTCTTTTTAAAGAAAAAGACTTTTTGGGCCGGCCCGGTGGTGCACTGGAGAGTGCGCCGCTTGGGAGCGCGGTGGCGCTCCCGCCGAGGGGTCGGATCCCATGTGGAGACCGGTTCCCGCTCACTGGCTGAGCGTGGTGCGGGCGCAACACCGAGGGTTGCGATCCCGTTACCGGTCAGTAAAAAAAAGACAAAAAGGAAAAAAAAAAAAAAAGAAAAAGACTTTTTATTCCTTGCTAGTGAAAAATATACAATATATATTCTACACTAGAAAAAATAAATACATTTTTCATCCCAAACACAAAAAACAATCCACTGATGGTTCCTTACATTGCAGATCTTATTAAAAACTATTTCTATGTATAATTAAAAAGATATACTATAGTCAGTTCTATATTTCTATAAAGACTTTATCAAAATGTTTGAATTTTTTTGCTTCACATCTCACCTGCTTTTGATAAATCTGTGCTAATGAGTATCAAGGAGGTAATGGATAATTGAACTCTGAAGAAACTCAATTCTCTACTTGTCAAGAAAATACAATACTACTTTCTTTATCCCTTGATACCTCTTTCTCTGTCCAGTCATGCATCACTTAATGACGGGGACACATTCTGAGAAATGCATCATTTGGCGATTCTGTCACTGTGTGAACATCATAGAACATACACAAACCTAGATGGTATAGCCTAGGCTACAAACCTGTACAGCTTGTTACTATACTGAATACTGTAGGCAAGTGTAACACAATGGTATTTGTGTATCTAAACATATCTAAACAAAAGGTACAGTAAGAATATGGTATTATAATCTTATGGGACCACTGTCATATGTGTAGTCCATCATTGACCGAGACGTTATGTGGTGCATTTTGTATTTTGAAAGGGGCGGGGCTGATGTCTGTGGCAGTCGTTACCGAGGCTCTCTGCCCCCGGCACACAGTTAGGCCTTCAGTCCTGGCTCCCTGGTTAGGCGGGGCCATATCACTAGTCCTGGTCAGTGAGCTGTGAGCAGAAGTGATGTGTGTCGCTTCTGCACCAGAGCATTTAAATGCTGGTGCAAGACTGTCCGTGATGACTGGGAACGTGTGAGATGGTGTCTGCTGTATTCATCTGGGTCGCCAGCCAACCCAAAATGGACACATAACACAAACAAGAAATAAACCTTTGTTCTTTTTAACCACCAAGATTTTAGGGTTCTTTGTGGCTACGACATAACCTAGACTGTCCTGATACAAGGTCATCACCATATTCTAGATCTGTGCTGACCAAAACAGTAGCCGCTAGTCACAAGTGGCTATTTACATTTAAATTAATTAGAATAAAAATTCAGTTCCTCAGTTGCGTGAGCCACATTACAAGGGCTCAGTAGTCATATGTGACTAATAGGTAGTGTATTGGGCAGCACAGATTAGAACTTTCTGTGAAGTTCTATTAGCACTGTCCTGATAGACTAGGAGGAAAAGAGAAGCTCCAAATTTTTACCTTAACTATGCACATCAATTTTCAAATTATTATGAAATTAAAATCTTGTGTAAAATCAGTCTAGAGAGTATGATCTATAGTTTCATCAATTGTATTAGGTAATACAGACTCAATACTGAGGTAATGTTCTTAATTCATTATTCACATTCATGTATAATTTTTCACTTCTTTTCACATTTTAAAAGTACCAGTTTTGTTAGCTTGTCAGAGTTAGCTTGGCTTTAAACTAATCACACTTAACCTTTATCCCCAGAAGTTTCTTAAGTTGAAAAGCTGATTCACATTGACATATTTCTGACTGCATATTAACCACGGCACAAACAGGGCTCTGAGAAAAGACTGAGGAGATATCTTTTTCAAATTGTCTAGAAAGTGCAAAGCTAGGGGCCGGCCCGGTGGCGCACTGCTACAGTGCGCCGCTTGGGAGTGCAGTGGCGCTCCCGCCGAGGGTTCAGATCCCACATACAGACCGGTTCCCGCTCACTGGCTGAGCGAGGTGCGGGTGCGACACCGAGGGTCGCGATCCCGTTGCCGGTCCCGGTCCGGTACGTGCGCGACACTGAGGGTTGCGATCCGTTGCCGGACACGAAAAAAGACAAAAAGGAAAAAAAAAAAAAAGAAAGTGCAAAACTAAAGTTCCTATTTTCCAATGAACCAGTAGATCGAGAGTTTAGGAAATAGGAGGCCACCACAGTAGAGAGAAGGCCAAGGAGGAAATGAAGACAAGCAGTAATTCTGTATGCCTAGAAACTTCCCTTAAAGTAATAGTAAAGGAATAATTTCAACACCGAGGGTTGTGATCCCGTTGCCAGTCCCGGTCCGGTACGGGCGCAACACTGAGGGTTGCGATCCGTTGCCGGACACGAAAAAAGACAAAAAGGAAAAAAAAAAAAAAGAAAGTGCAAAACTAAAGTTCCTATTTTCCAATGAACCAGTAGATCGAGAGTTTAGGAAATAGGAGGCCACCACAGTAGAGAGAAGGCCAAGGAGGAAATGAAGACAAGCAGTAATTCTGTATGCCTAGAAACTTCCCTTAAAGTAATAGTAAAGGAATAATTTTTTTAAAAAGCTATAAACCCTTCTGTGGAAAAATGATTAAAAAAAAAACCAAAGTGTTTTTTCTATTTTCTCATGATACAATCAACACAGAAGACTGTGACCAAATGTGTCTGGGGTTTCCCCACCAGCAAGCAAGCAATTCTGGAGCACACACCAGCTCAGTGTCCTCTAATTCAATTCTGACTCTATCTACCTGGAGCCCTGAGCTGAGGGCTCAGTCCCCAAGACTGCCCCCCGCTTCAGACGCCATCGCAAGTCCAGGACTCCAGAACTTCTGACCAACCAGCTAAAATTGGGGTTCCTGAGACCACTGCCCTCCTCTGGGTTTGATTCATTTGCTAGAGTGGTTCACAGAACTCAGGGAAATAGTTTCTTATGCTTACTGGTTTGTTATAAAGGATATCACAAAGGATACAGCCAAGAGATGCACAGGGCGAGGAATGCAGGAAGGGGCACAGAGCTTCCATGCCATCCCTGGGCATGCCACCCTTCAGGAACCTCCACGTGTTCAGCTTTCCAGAAGCTCTCCAAACCCTGTCCTCTGGGTTTTATGGAAGCTTCATTACTCAGGCATGACTGGTTACATCACTGGCCATTGTGATCAATTTAACCTTCAGCCCATCTCCCCTTCCCAGAGGTTGGGGTTGGGGCTGAAAGTCCCAACCCTCTAATTCTGCCTTGGTCTTTTCAGTGACCAGCCCCCATCCTGAAGCTACCTAGGGGCTGCCAGCCATCAGTCAACTCATTAGCATACAGAAAATCACTCATCACTTTGGAGATTCTTAAGATTTTAGGAATTCTATGCCAGAAGATGGATGAAATCCAAATATACATTTCACAGTATAATACCTTCAAATATGAAGACAAATATGGGAGATAGATTAAAAATATCAGAATTTTGGAAGATGGAAAAACAAGGAATAGGTAACCAACTTAGAGCAGAGAAGCTGAAACTAACTTCCTGCAGAGGAGAAAGGCAAGTTGGTTTGCCCTGAAGAATTCCCCAAAGGTTAGAGACTGGAGGAACCAGGTACCTACGAAAGGGAGCCTCAAGGGACTGTAAGACAGCAACTCACAGATGCAAACCAAGGTCTTTAAGGTCAAAGCAGGTCAAATGTTCAACTAGGAGATCAAGACGGAGGAAGGGATTACTAGGAGTTAGGACACACAAGGGTCCAGAATCCGGGAGGTGAGTCTGAACATGTTAAAAGAATCCACATCAAAGTGCAGAAAAGAGCCAATCCTAGAAAGGCATTTCCTTGCTTAAGGCATTTTTTTTTCCTTTTTGTCTTTTTTCGTGTCTGGCAACGGATCGCAACCCTCAGTGTCGCGCCT